CAACTGTTATCACTCAATGATCAATATCAATCTGTAATCAATAATAAACTCCCACAAACTTCCAAATGGAATCGATCCTCTACCTAGTTGTTTAGTGATAAACTTTTGCATAGCTTCAGGCTGACTTCATCATCATCATCATCATCAGTTCACCTGTCCAAGATACCTGTCATTGGTGGTATCTTTAAAAGTTACCAACCGAACTGAATGGTGACCTGTTTTCATATGGAATTTGTGTAATTTTTAGAAGACGTTTGAGATGAAGCAGTCACCTATATAAATGAAATCTTCAGGATACAGTTAAGAAACAATTTTTTTTTCGATTTTTTACATCAGCTGAAATGTTTCCATTCTCTGATTTTCATGTGGATATCTGAATGATCCTCTTGGAACATGCCTTTCATGAAATTAACAGGTCATATTTCAAAGAAAAATTATGAAGTTATAAACGATGATGTTATCAGTATCAGAACCTTAAATTTTTCTCTAGAATATTCATAGTTGGAGTCATTACGCAATGAAATTAAACTAAATAACTTCATTCTCATGTTTACAACTAATTGACAAGCAAATCAACATAGAAACTTGCATACAATTGCACCACTTCAAGTTACTGAAGTTTCTAAGTGATGTATAAAGAATGATTGGATGGAAAAAGACTCATATGAAAGTAGATGAAGATATTTGGGAGGAGAATGAGTTTTAAAATGAAGGTATATGTCCAATTCACATACAGCCATTTCTCATATTGTCTTCGAAACCTCCTTACACAGCTCAAACCAGCGGTCAGTTATGTCTTCATCCAGTGGTTCTGAACCTGATACATATTCTAATTAATTATGGATATATTTGTAATTCTCTGTTGTTATACTGAATCGAATTTTTTGACCTCTATTGGTATATGGGCTTCGATGCAGATGCCTCGATATTGTCTGAATGTTTATTATTATTATTATTTGTTCCTTGGGTTCCTAATGGAACATAGGGTTTTAGTAGCACGTCTCCAATGTTCTCTGTTCTCTGAAGTCTTTTGAACCTGGTTCCACGACAGCCAACAACCTCTCATTCCTAACTCACATCATCTCCTCCACGTCACCCTCATCTCACACGCTCAACTCGTCGTTTCCAATCTCCGTTCCACTCGATGACCTGGCCTGGTGCCTCATGTCCCCAGTCCCCCTTCTCCTCACTGTATACCCAATCCATCTACACTCTCTTCTTCTTCAGCATATTTGTTGACTGATAACTTCTAAGTTCGTACGTTGACAGACAGAGCTCCTTGTTGCTTATTCTTCCTGACAGGACTGCCATCTGATCTTCTCTATGGAGTGAGTGTAGGCGACATTTGTTGATGAATGTCTGTAGTTTGTTGGGAATGCCTTTCGTGACGCGCCAAGTCTCTGAACCATACAGGAGCACTGAGCTGACATTGGTGTTGAAAATCCGAATTTTGTTCACACTTTATGCGGAGTGCCGAAGATCTTCACACTGGTTTCAGGTTAATGAACGCCTGTCTTGCTTTTTTGATCCTGACTTTGACGTTCTTGTCTGTGCCACCTGATTGCCTGAATGTTAATTACAATAAATTTTACTTGGAGGTGGCTAGAAGAAGAATCCAAGATGCGTAGTTCGTCCTATTTTCAACTCTTCAACTTGATGTACCTATACTCAGTATGGAGTTATTTTGTCCTCATTAAAACCTGATCCTTGTACTCATCACTTCAAACACTAAAGCAGGCTTATCCAGCTCAAGAGTCTAAATAATCTACAATTTGACAAACGTTTATAGAAAGTATACTATAATGTACGATGGTTTGTGTTCTACGTTAATTTTCACTGTAAAAATAGATACTGTTGTTGACTAATCCACTTTACACTGTTTTGTACTGTCTATTGCCAGAAGGAATCATAGATAGTCTACAACTCTTTTTAAAGCGACTGGTCCCACTGATAAATTTAAACGAAGATTATCTGAAACATGTTATGATGCATTAGTGCTATACATTTCAAACAATCTGATCAGATACATGAACTTGTCAAACTATTGATGTGAAAATTTACGAAAAAGGTCAGTGAAATTAATAGGAAACATCATAGGAATAGGAAGAGAGAGGAAAAGAAAAAATACGTTACTCTCGGCATGAAAATCAAAATCAATACTACCAAGGTAGGTTCAATGTGAGTACAAATTGTTTTTATATACATAAAGCAGGGGGTTTGAGTTTACGGATGGCAAAAGCTTGAATAGATTTTGAGCACACGGCTCTGACCACTTATATGTAGTACTTCAAAGGCTGTTTTCATGTCTACTCTGTGGTTAGTTCCTAGTATGTGTTTAGCGATAGATGAAGATGGATGTTTGTCCTAGACGTATTGCTCAGTTGACAGGGGGATGGCTCGATAAGGAGGTCGATCTATAGGAAACCTACATGGGCAGGGTAATATCTTAATTTCCATAGCTATTGCCCGGTCCAATATAAACGTGGTTTAGTTAGATACTTATTCATCAAGATAAACCGCATCTCCACCAATGACATCAGTGAGAAAGAAACCAACTTACTGACGATAACACTGACACAGAATGGATACCCACTGAGACTTATCTACAGGTAAAAAGTTATGTACTATTGAAAAGTATACAGTGTTCCATTGCTAAGAGAAATGTCTACATCTCATTACCATTTAGAGGTGATTCACACATCTTTGTTGTGAGGAAAAGACTTTGATCGGTCATCTGTAAAGCATATTATACAGCTAAGGTCATCATTGTAGAGAAGATAAAGTCCATGTTACAGCACAAACCAAACCGCATATAAACGATTACATCACATCCCACTGTGTCTGTCAATTTACATGTATGTGTGGACACACATACAGGAAGGAGTAATCGTGATCTTCAGTTAAGGTAGGTTGAACACGTACCTAAGTGGCTACAAAAACAAATGACCTCAACAGATCCGATAAGTGCTGGTGACAAACATCCATCTTCATCTATCGCTAAACACATACTAGGAACTAACCACAGAGTAGACATGAAAACAGCCTTTGAAGTACGACATAAAAGTGGTCAGAGCCGTGCGCTCAAAATTTATTTAAGCTTTTGCCATCCGTAAATTCAAACCCCCTGCTTTATGCATACCAAAACAATTTATACTCAGTGTTATTGCTTGTATTACACTGTCGTTGATTGGACCGGATTGATCAGTCTCTGTTGGCATATGGGCTCCTATGTGGATGCCTCGATATTGCCTGTCTTTTTAACTATGTATAGTAATGATGGGCAATGGCTGGCTATGGAATCCAGGATATACATTTCGTCCTATTTAGGACTCGTCAGCTGGATGTACCTGCTTCTCAGTGAGTGATGTTGTTCCCACTGGGATTTAGACTCGGAGTGATCGCTTCAAATGCCAGAGCGTTATCCACTACATCACCGAGCCACGAGTTCAAGTGCCGGTGGGAACATCACTCACTGAGAGGCAGGTACATTTGGCTGATAAATCCTGAATGGGACAAAATGCGCATCCTGGATTCCACTACCAGCCACTGCCCATCATTACTATACAAATCTGTACTCACATTGAATCTACCTTGGTAGTATTGATTTTAATTTTCATGCCAAGAGTAATGCCTTTTTTCTTTTTCTCTCTCTTCCTATTCCTATGATGTTTCCTATTAACTTCATTGACCTTTTTCGTAAAATTTCATATCAATAGTTTGACAAGTTCATGTATATGATCAGCCTGTTCGAAATGTAAAAATGCGCTAATACAACTCTTCAGTTAAATGTACCAGCTGTACGCATTAACCAAACTTTATGAACACCTTCAACATATTAGACAAAAGGTGGCTAATATCATTTATGAGAATTAGTAAATAAAGTGGCTAATTTCAAATCACTAATGAGAACATCAATAAATAATTCCTTAAGTAGTAAATACTGAATTTTGTAGATACAAAAAAAGCAAAGTAACAGTTAGGAGGAGATCGTACAAGGAGGAAATTAAACCTTGTGGGCTGTCGTGTAGCCAGGTTCAAAAGATTTCAGAGAACAGAGAGCATTAGAGACGTGCTACTATAACCTTATGTTCCATTAGGAACCCAAGGAACAAATAATAATAGTAGCATTTAGGCATATGTAGTAAAATAGGATTTATCAGGTAGGGATAATTATCATATAAAACCTGACCAGTATAGTAAATATGCGGTTCAAGTTTCAGTGGGAACTCCATCTCTGGCTAGGATGGATTTAGTTGACGAGTTCCAACTAGGAGGAAGCCCACGTTTGTGAATTCCGTTACTAATCATTACTATTATTATTATCATTATTATCAAGTAAATTATCAGATAGTTAGGGAAATATTCTCTTATTTGAGTTTTATTAAATAGGACTATATCTTTCATTCAAAGAATAAATTTTGGTTGTCTTGTCAAGAAAAAGGCAATAAATATATATGTATATATATGTATTTTTGAGATGAATGGGGATTTTTAACTTAGAAGTAGTGTTCATCATAGACTGATATCATTTGAGGAACCATTGAAAGTCTGAGAGCACTGTACAGCTGTTTCGTCCCAATATGTGACTCGTCAGCAGTACTCATCCATGAATTAATAGAAGTTGGAAACTGCGAACCACTGAAAACCGATCCATTAGCCGTGAAATCTAACTGGATCGTAGGTGCATACTACTGAGAAATCCCATACTAGGACAAAACAGCTGTCTAGTTCTTCCAGATTTTCAATGGTTCCATGATGAATACTACTTCTAAATATAGATATATCTCACAGAAATCAAACCGTATCCCATGAATACAAAGAGGCATTTTAAAGGATAGTATGCAATTCTAATAGCCAATCACCTCATAAAATAAACAACGAACATGTAATAATCATAATAATAACTGTTGTTATTTTCAGTATACGTGATCTTCTATGAAGTTGTCAGTTTCGGTTTTATTAGTGATATATTTAAAGAAGAAGTATACAATGGTGCTAACCTTCGATATGATTTTCTATTCAAGATATTGTCATTATCATCTTCTTTGTATTGATTTTTTATGACTGAAAAAGGTTCTGACTGTACAACAGTAGGTGCTTTTGATAATATTGAAGGTGCTTGTTTTGATGAATAACTCGATGTCTTTGTCTGATACTCCTAAAAAATAATAATAATAATAGTATATAATTATACAATTTATAGGGTTTACACATAGAAAATCAGTGCAGAGTCCCGTGCAGAAAGGATATAGAAAACACAGTTTGATCAACAACGTTTTCAACGAGCACCATTAATCATGGTTGAACAAGGGACAAATTAGAATGATGAAGACCTGCATACTTGTACACTTAGTTGACACAAGACATCAAGTGGTTACTAGAAAAGCCTTCAAAATCATCCATCAGATTCCAATTGATTTACCACATGGATTATGCACTCGGTTACTTCACATAGCAGAGGTGATTGCAATCCACCTTCACAAACCTAGCCTTTGTATCCAAAAGAAGTTTGTTCGACCACTTTCATTATTGTGCCCTCCGTCACAACATGATGTAACTTCTAGGTTTACTTTGTACACTTCTTCCCCATTCCCCTTGTTTCTATCAGTATTCATGTCTTAATAACTCCTATTGATTATTGACATGATTATTTCCGAGACATGACCACATGATTGGTAATTTGATTAAATAGTAAAACTATGCATATTAGTGTAGAGCAGAAGATGAAGTCCTAATTGAATAGGAATATACATTTCTTCACTCAATCAGTCGTTTTCAGTTACTCCAAATTCACTATGAAAAAGGAATCAAACATCCAACTACCATTTTTGGATGTTTAAGTCAGTGGGACAAATACCTGAAACCCAAGTGTACAGAAAGCCAATACACATGGATCAAATACACTGTAGTACAACAACTTCATGGAGAAACGAAGAAAATTACTTGATGTCTATCCCAAAGAAGAATGGTCATCCACGAAACATTATCCAGATCAAAGGACACAACAACCAAAGAAGACAAACCGAATATCAATCACCGTAGTCAACACTACATTGGACAAAGTGGTCGTCCTCTTCTCCTTCGTTTACATAAACACCGATTGACTATTAAACATCATAACATTTCCTTGCTCGTCGCTCAATATACCTGGATAACTATGCTGATGAATTCAATTTCGACAATGTAGAAATTATAGACAGAGGAAGCAGAATGAATATTACCAAAAAATTTCTAGAAGGTTGGCATTCAAATTAGTCAGTCAGCAATTAATAGATGTAGATGTAGAATGAACCTATCAACCTATGAGAAAAATGATAAACGACAGAAAGGTGAAAGGTCAGGCAGAGAAACGGCTAATACGAAAATCTATGGAGTCAGTCAATGACACAACAATCAAAGGAAATAACCAGTCACACACACAAACCAGTTGTCCAGCGTAAGCTAGTTAATCACTGACGAAGAGATATTGACATCTCACTTCATACTGAAGTTAGTCATGATGATGTCATTGTCTAGAAAGACGGTGAAAGCTCCATGATTAGACAACGCAGCTCAGAGAACACAACACAATCAAGACCATCCACCTGACCTACAAATATTCTCCATCATGATTCACAACAACATACAAAGAATAAAACAATTCAACATAGAGTGTGTTGGATGAGATAAAAGAAATCAATGAGAGTTAGTGAGGAGCTAACTTTGGAAGGTATTAAAAAGTGAATGAATCTATGCCATGGTCATCAAAAGTATCTTGAAGATGCCAGCTAGTTAGTTTGTAACTTTCTACACTATTCAGATCAACAGGTAGACAGATTTTACAAACTTCTGGAATCTCTTGATTGTGGTTTGACGTGCGCATCATATGTTCGAGACTCCCTGCCTAATTAATAATCTTCACCTAAGCGCGACATACTCTCCCCTTATGATTCCACCATACACGAGCAATACTACAAAGACACAGGTAGTTAAAAATATGTAACCTTTTTCAGATCTACTCTCAATGATCGACTATATGTGACAACGTTGACTTCAGTCCAGTATAATTGTCCTATATATAAATATATCACCGGTTCAATGATCTGAATGTTTCTAGAATGCCAAAATTATATTCAATTCATATAGAAGGACTGGATTTGTCAGAAAACTTTGAGATTAGGAGGATTGGAGGAAGGCGAGGACTATTCTGTGCTTGAGTCCTCGAAACAACAAGAATCGGTGGTTAAGGACTACTGATCATACACTCACTCTTCAACGCTGGACCGATGAGAAGACACTAAAAGATTTAAATTTCGTCAGTGATGATTTATATCTACTGTGTTATGTCGCACAAGCTGGAAGATGTACAGGCGAAAACTACGAAGTTGGCAGAAGAGGTGAAGCCGGGCAGCCAACGAAGACGGGACTTCCTTCAGGTGAACGTAAAGGAGACAAAGATGATGAAAATTCCCACCCAACAAAAAGAATCACCGATTACCATCAAGAGGAGAAATTTGAAGGAAGTTGTCTATCCCACCTACCTACCTAGGAGGCAGAATCCTTTCAACTACAAGTGGTGGCACATGCACAGAGGAGGAAGTCAAAGCCAGTCAGGATGAAAAAGACAACAAGACATGCCTTCTTTCATTGATCTGACATCAGTGTAGAGATCTAATGCATTGCACTAAGCATAATGAGTGAATAACACCTGGATTTTCAATACTGCCAATGTCAGTCAAGTCAGTGCTTCTATGTAATGGTTGGGAGACTGGTGGTGTTCTGAAAAACATTTCAAACAAACTGGGGACATACATGAACAACTGCCGCTCGATACTGAAGTTGCAGATGAGATGGATTGCCAGAAGAAATAAGTAACAAAGAAACTCTGGCATGCCAACGAACCAACTGACCAAGAAGCTATCGCGCAACGAATGTTCGCGGGGATAGATTGGATTGGACATAGACTGAGAAGGTTGTTTGGGAACATCACTTTTTAGGCCAAGTTGTCGTGTGGAACCTGAATAGGAAACGATGAGTTGGAGTTGCGAAGTGAAAGTTAGATGGAGGAAGTGGTGTTTAGAGGAGATAAGAGCTTATATAGGAGTCATGGAGTCAGGTTAAGAAGACTGTAGAGAAGAGAGTGAAATAGCAACGTGCTACTGAAACCGTATATTCCACTAGGAACCCAAAGGATAAATAATATTAATAACGCTTGAATAGTTTAACTATTCTTCAATTTTACATGTTCTCTTCACTCATGCCCCTTTTTTCTGCTTCGTATTCAATCTTTTCCTATCCACTACTTATTTGTATACTCCTACTGTGGAGTATGGTGACTTGAATCGATTTTGATTTTATTTGTCTAGTTTTATCATTATTATTATTTTTTCCCCTTAGAGTTCCTAGTGGAACATATAGCTTCAGTAACACACCTCGAATTGCACTCTATTCTCTGCAGTCTTTTCAACATTAAGCGTGTACAACATCCGGGTTATCAACACTGCCAATATCAGTCAAGTCAGTGATTCTGTGTGATGATTGAAAAACTTGGCGTGTCATGAAAAGTATTTCCAACAAACTACAAATATTCATCAATAACTACAGCCTATGTTCACTCCATACTTAAGATCAGATTAGATGGATTGGCAGAAAGAATAAATAAGGTGGAAGTAAGAAGCTATCCTCTAACAAATATGCATAATAAAAGAGTGGAGATGAATTGAGCATACACTGAGATGACCAACTAGGGACATCATGTGTCAGACCAAACCTTGAATTATAATTTAAAGGCGAAACGATGAGTTGGGCATCCGAGGCACAGAACCTAAGTAGAAAAATATTAATGATAATAGTGATAATAATAACAATGAATATCATTCATAAAATTAACTACAATCACTGTGGTGAACACTACATTGGACAGAGTAGTCGTCCTCTTTTCCCTCGTTTACATAAACACCGATTGACTATTAAACATCATAACATTTCCTTGCTCGTCGCTCAATATACCTGGATAACTATGCTGATGAATTCAATTTCGACAATGTAGAAATTATAGACAGAGGAAGCAGAATGAATATTACCAAAAAATTTCTAGAAGGTTGACATTCAGATTAGTCAGTCAGCAGTTAATAGATGTAGATATAGAATGAACCTATCAACCTATAGGAAAAATGATAAACGACAGAAAGGTGAGAGGTCAAGCAGAGAAACGGCTAATACGAAAATCTATGGAGTCAGTCAATGACACAACAATCAAAGGAAATAACCAGTCACACACACAAACCAGTTGTCCAGCGTAAGCTAGTTAATCACTGACGAAGAGATATTGACACCTCATTTCGCACTGAAGTTAGTCATGATGATGTCACTGTCTAGAAAGACGGTGAAAGCTCCATGATTAGACAACGCAGCTCAGAGAACACAACACAACCAAAACCGTCCACCTGACCTACAAATATTCTCCATCATGATTCACAACAACATACAAAGAATAAAACAATTCAACATAGAGTGTGTTGGATGAGATAAAAGAAATCAATGAGAGTTAGTGAGGAGCTAACTTTGGAAGGTATTAAAAAGTGAATGAATCTATGCCATGGTCATCAAAAGTATCTTGAAGATGCCAGCTAGTTAGTTTGTAACTTTCTACACTATTCAGATCAACAGGTAGACAGATTTTACAAACTTCTGGAATCTCTTGATTGTGGTTTGACGTGCGCATCATATGTTCGAGACTCCCTGCCTAATTAATAATCTTCACCTAAGCGCGACATACTCTCCCCTTATGATTCCACCATACACGAGCAATACTACAAAGACACAGGTAGTTAAAAATATGTAACCTTTTTCAGATCTACTCTCAATGATCGACTATATGTGACAACGTTGACTTCAGTCCAGTATAATTGTCCTATATATAAATATATCACCGGTTCAATGATCTGAATGTTTCTAGAATGCCAAAATTATATTCAATTCATATAGAAGGACTGGATTTGTCAGAAAACTTTGAGATTAGGAGGATTGGAGGAAGGCGAGGACTATTCTGTGCTTGAGTCCTCGAAACAACAAGAATCGGTGGTTAAGGACTACTGATCATACACTCACTCTTCAACGCTGGACCGATGAGAAGACACTAAAAGATTTAAATTTCGTCAGTGATGATTTATATCTACTGTGTTATGTCGCACAAGCTGGAAGATGTACAGGCGAAAACTACGAAGTTGGCAGAAGAGGTGAAGCCGGGCAGCCAACGAAGACGGGACTTCCTTCAGGTGAACGTAAAGGAGACAAAGATGATGAAAATTCCCACCCAACAAAAAGAATCACCGATTACCATCAAGAGGAGAAATTTGAAGGAAGTTGTCTATCCCACCTACCTACCTAGGAGGCAGAATCCTTTCAACTACAAGTGGTGGCACATGCACAGAGGAGGAAGTCAAAGCCAGTCAGGATGAAAAAGACAACAAGACATGCCTTCTTTCATTGATCTGACATCAGTGTAGAGATCTAATGCATTGCACTAAGCATAATGAGTGAATAACACCTGGATTTTCAATACTGCCAATGTCAGTCAAGTCAGTGCTTCTATGTAATGGTTGGGAGACTGGTGGTGTTCTGAAAAACATTTCAAACAAACTGGGGACATACATGAACAACTGCCGCTCGATACTGAAGTTGCAGATGAGATGGATTGCCAGAAGAAATAAGTAACAAAGAAACTCTGGCATGCCAACGAACCAACTGACCAAGAAGCTATCGCGCAACGAATGTTCGCGGGGATAGATTGGATTGGACATAGACTGAGAAGGTTGTTTGGGAACATCACTTTTTAGGCCAAGTTGTCGTGTGGAACCTGAATAGGAAACGATGAGTTGGAGTTGCGAAGTGAAAGTTAGATGGAGGAAGTGGTGTTTAGAGGAGATAAGAGCTTATATAGGAGTCATGGAGTCAGGTTAAGAAGACTGTAGAGAAGAGAGTGAAATAGCAACGTGCTACTGAAACCGTATATTCCACTAGGAACCCAAAGGATAAATAATATTAATAACGCTTGAATAGTTTAACTATTCTTCAATTTACATGTTCTCTTCACTCATGCCCCTTTTTTCTGCTTCGTATTCAATCTTTTCCTATCCACTACTTATTTGTATACTCCTACTGTGGAGTATGGTGACTTGAATCGATTTTGATTTTATTTGTCTAGTTTTATCATTATTATTATTTTTTCCCCTTAGAGTTCCTAGTGGAACATATAGCTTCAGTAACACACCTCGAATTGCACTCTATTCTCTGCAGTCTTTTCAACATTAAGCGTGTACAACATCCGGGTTATCAACACTGCCAATATCAGTCAAGTCAGTGATTCTGTGTGATGATTGAAAAACTTGGCGTGTCATGAAAAGTATTTCCAACAAACTACAAATATTCATCAATAACTACAGCCTATGTTCACTCCATACTTAAGATCAGATTAGATGGATTGGCAGAAAGAATAAATAAGGTGGAAGTAAGAAGCTATCCTCTAACAAATATGCATAATAAAAGAGTGGAGATGAATTGAGCATACACTGAGATGACCAACTAGGGACATCATGTGTCAGACCAAACCTTGAATTATAATTTAAAGGCGAAACGATGAGTTGGGCATCCGAGGCACAGAACCTAAGTAGAAAAATATTAATGATAATAGTGATAATAATAACAATGAATATCATTCATAAAATTAACTACAATCACTGTGGTGAACACTACATTGGACAGAGTAGTCGTCCTCTTTTCCCTCGTTTACATAAACACCGATTGACTATTAAACATCATAACATTTCCTTGCTCGTCGCTCAATATACCTGGATAACTATGCTGATGAATTCAATTTCGACAATGTAGAAATTATAGACAGAGGAAGCAGAATGAATATTACCAAAAAATTTCTAGAAGGTTGACATTCAGATTAGTCAGTCAGCAGTTAATAGATGTAGATATAGAATGAACCTATCAACCTATAGGAAAAATGATAAACGACAGAAAGGTGAGAGGTCAAGCAGAGAAACGGCTAATACGAAAATCTATGGAGTCAGTCAATGACACAACAATCAAAGGAAATAACCAGTCACACACACAAACCAGTTGTCCAGCGTAAGCTAGTTAATCACTGACGAAGAGATATTGACACCTCATTTCGCACTGAAGTTAGTCATGATGATGTCACTGTCTAGAAAGACGGTGAAAGCTCCATGATTAGACAACGCAGCTCAGAGAACACAACACAACCAAAACCGTCCACCTGACCTACAAATATTCTCCATCATGATTCACAACAACATACAAAGAATAAAACAATTCAACCTAGAGTGTGTTGGATGAGATAAAAGAAATCAATGAGAGTTAGTGAGGAGCTAACTTTGGAAGGTATTAAAAAGTGAATGAATCTATGCCATGGTCATCAAAAGTATCTTGAAGATGCCAGCTAGTTGGTTTGTAACTTTCTACACTTTTCAGATCAACAAACTACAAATATTCATCAATAACTGCAGTCTACGTTGACTCAATACTGAAGATCAGATTAGATGGATTGGCAGAAGGAATAAATAAGGTGGAAGTAAGAAGCTATCGTCTAACAAATATGCATAATAAAAGATTGGAGATGAATTGAGCATACACTGAGATGACCAACTAGGGACATCATGTGTCAGACTAAACCTTGAAGTAGAATTCAAAGGGGAAACAATGAGTTAGGCATCCTAGGGAAAAAATAATTATGATAACAAGAGTTTTTTTTAGTATAATTGAACAACTTACTTGACTTTTACTGTTACTATTAAATTGAATATCATCCTGATTCGATTCAATTAAATGATCTGTTCTTGTAGTTAATAAAGCCAATGAATCAATTAATTTATATGAACCAACACCCATTGCAGCAAGATGAGCTGCTGAACTACCAGCTGTTCTATTTATCAACTTATCACCATTATTATTATTATGGTAATTATTCCTCTTATTCTCTTGATTTAAATATGATGATGAATTTATTACACGAGATGTTTGATATATATTTTTATCATTGAATTGTGTTAAATATGCTAATGAATTAGACATTAACTTTGTATTTTCAAAATTATTATTATTATTATAATTAGAATAATTATTAATTTGATTATTATTTAATTGTTTATTACATAATTTAGATTGTATATTAAGATTTGATTGAGATATGAAAAAAGAATTATTTCTATTCAATAATTTTGTTGTTTTTCCCATTGATGATAAATAATCAGATGATGATACTGGTGGTGGTGGTGGTGGATAGATTAGATCACGACAAATTGTAGTTTGTGCTAACATACTATTTGGTAGATTGATATAACTACATAAACTATCAATAATAGGAGTAGTAGTAGTAGTAGTACAATCGTTATCAACATCTATTTTATTACACATTTGATTAATATTCAATGGAGAATAACCATTATCAAATAATAAATCATTTGATATTCTAATATTTATATCACTGGATATATTATGCTTATTTTTATTCAATTGTTCATTTATTGAATAATTATTCCGTTTCAGATTAGATAAATTTGTATCGTTTGAATCAAGGATAATATTACTTATATCATTATCATGAGTAGTAGTTGTAGAATTGATATAATACCAATCTCTTGGTTGAGGAGATAAATCTTTTAACATTGTTGTTGTTGTTGTTGTTGTTCCTTTTGTTGAAAGTCTTGAAATATGCTGATATCTTTGATTATCTCTATTTATCAATTGATCATTTATATTAATATGAAGTTGATCAATTGACTTTGATAAGGATAATTTTGTATTGTATATTTTAGGATAATATTTTATAGATGAAATTGGTTTATTTGTAATTGAAGAAGGAAGATTATTTATAGAAATATTATGTGCATAAGGATAATAAATGTCTGTTTTTGGTATCATATTATATTGGTATGATGTTGATGAAATTTGTTCATTTTCTTGTAATGTATTAGATAGATTACTATTATTATTATTATTATTATATTTTATTGTAGATTTCTTATCTTTATTCAATATTTTTACTGAAATTGGATAAATAATTTTGTCTACTTTATTAGATACTTCAGTTTTAATATGATTTGTAATAGCAAAGTTAACAGATGGTTTAATAGATTGAGAAAATTTACTTCTCTGTAATACTTCTTCATTATACATAGGAAGATTTTTATCATAAGTATTAATTATCCCATTGAATGAAGTATTTTTCACTTTCTTTTCAAATGAATTATTTACAACTGATAATTCATCTAATTCAATCTTTGATTGTTGATCATTCATTACACTCAACTGTTTATTATATTGTCTCATAGAAACTTTATTCACTTTTTCATTCTCTATAGATATTGGCATTTCATCTTGAGTATTTTTATATGTTTTTATTCCATTGGCTCCAAGCCAATTACCAACTTTATTCTTTTGATAAACATCTGAATTACTACCTGATTTTAATATATTATCGATAAGATCTTCATTTTCATCATCTATTTCATCAGCTGATTTTAAAGGGATGAAGATAAAGTGTTAATCGATCCACCACCAGTACCACCACCACCAGCACCACCATCATTATCGATATTATTACCATTATCTAAGTTTTTATCTATTTGATTAGGTTGTTCTGTAGCTTCAGCATTTTCTTCAACATCAGAACTTACTGAATTGACTCCAGTATCTACATCTTCATCAAGATGTGTAAAAGAAGTGTTTTTATTCAATATATTACTAGTGAATTGATTCATGTTTGACTTGTGTTGTTCTACATTTTTATCTGATTCATTTACATCTCTTATGACTGTCTTTTCTTCTTCATCTCCTCCTCCATCTTGTGATAATTGGTTCATACATTTTATTTTTTCGGGTAGTGTATTTCCTTGAATTGTGGATAACTCCTCGGTGTTATTAGTATGTATGATATCATATTTATTAGAACCGGGAACAATTGTTAAATTGGGTGTAGATAAACTACTTTTATTTGTTAATTGTTGTTGATCTGTGGACATTCCTATTTGTTGTTGCCTCATACCTCCACCAAATTGATCAGTTAATCGTTTATTCATAAATACATTATCATCTATACCGTCTAACTTGTTATTGTTTCCATGTGTCGCTACTAAACATGAAATATCAAGGTAATAATAATAATAATAATAATGATAAACAAATAAAGTTGTACTGGAACAAACTTAAATTATATCTTACAAACATTAACATGATATGATGAATTTCAGTTTAGACTTTATCTTTTAATAATTGACTTGGTTATAGCTAACAGACGAATCTAAGATGGGTGTTTAGTCCTATATGGGACTTGTTAGCTAGATGTACGTGCATCCCAGTACAGAGTGATGTTGTTCCCACTGAAACTCAAACCTTGTACAATAATAATAATAATAATAATAATAATAATAATAATCACTTATGGAAATGAGAGATTTCAGTTCCGTTCCAACACACTTTTCTCCTCATATAATATATGTGCTAGGTGAGGTACAGTTGAATTCATATACTTCGCTGTACAATCATACAGTTTGATGTAGTTCCTTTTTGTCCTGCCTTGAGATAGATAAGACGAAAGAGCTGTGAATAAAATGGATACCCAGTTTCAGTGAGAACTAATGTAACTGATTGCTTGTTAGAGTTAAAATGCCTGTTGGGCCAGGGGTACATCACTCACTTCACTAACGCCTTTCAAAGCCCTAAAAATTATAACACATAGTCCTTGTTTAGTAGAAGACCATGAAACATCAACGGAGAACAATACAGCAGAGAAGGAAGAGTGCAGAGATTAACAAATTATGAAAGTAGAGAATGAGTCATACTAGAGAGCTTGAGTTTCTATACGTATTATTTTAAACAAAAGATATGAGACGACCAATAAGGATCAAAAGTATACCTCAATCCAAGGTAATTAACACTTGATTTACTTTCTGCTGAAATATTATCAATGCTCCAACAAGCTTTATGGGACTGAGGCAGTTCATACAAGTCTTGTTTACATTTTACGTTAAAATAAACAGTGTCACATTTACAAGGATTCCAATTGAGAAAATTTCAAAGAGATAATTGGTCAAACATAGACGAGAAAACATTAAATACAGAGCAAACTGGGTGAGAGAAGCACAAATCATGTGCGGGTCTAACTGTAACGCATCGCATCATCATCATCAGTGAACTGGGCATAAAATGGCAGTCAACTGCATCTCTATCTCCACTTCATCGATTTTGAAAACGCCTTCGACAATCTCGACCAACAAATAATTTGGCAAGCAGCTGCTTCAACACTACACAGTATCACAAACCTTTATCAACCTCATTCAACTGCAGCTGTATGAAGACGCCACATGCCAAGTAATTCACAACACAATGGGAAGCTCAGTGATGCATTTGGAGTGAAGTGAAGACAGGAGTAAGACACGACAAGGCTGTCAACTATCAGCCATGATATTCCTGATCGTAGTTGACTGACTGGATAATGCAACAAACAGTGAGGAGTGATAAGAGGGTGATACACTGGTTGGACTGAGGGAAAGAACCTAGAAGATTTATTAGATTTCGCCAGTGATGACTTGTGTCTAATGTCACACAAACTCGAAGATGTACAAGTGAAAACTAACAAGTTGACAGTAGAGGTGAGGTATGGCAGGGAAGACGGTAACTCAAGTGAATGTAGAGAAGACAGAGATGATGAAGATATCCAACCAACCCCATCACCAGTATACTGTATACAGTATACTGTATACAAAAGGAGGCGCTCAAGTTCATTGCTTACTGAAGCCTGTGTGCCTCAAGGTGTTGTATTTCCTCTGTTTCTCTTCTCGTTCATTTTGCACGATTCACCTCATTCTGTTGAAATTAGTTTTATCACCTACGTTGATGACTTGATCGTGCCTATTCTAGTTAACCCTCACATAGATTTATCATTATAATTATCATTTGTCCCTTGGGTTCCCAATGGAATATACGGATTCAGTAACACGTCTCCAACGCGCTCTGTTGTCTGGAATTTTTTGAACCTGGTTCCACGACAGCCAACAACCTCTCATTCCTAATTCATATCATCTCCTCCATATCACCCTCATCTCACACACCAAACTCGTCGTTTACCATCTCCGTTCCACCCGATGACCTGGCCTGGTGCCTCATGTCCCCAGTCCCCCTTCTCCTCACTGTATACCCAATCCATCTACACTATCTTCTTCTTCAGCAGATTTGTTGACTGATAACTTCTAAGTTCGTTCGTTGGCAGACAGAGCTCCTTGTTGCTTATTCTTCCTGGCAGGACTGCCATCTGATCTTCTCTATGGAGTGAGTGTAGGCAGCAGTTGGTGATCAATATCTGTAGTTTGTTGGGAATGCCTCTCGTGACGCGCCAAGTCTCTCAACCATCACATAGAAGCACTGACTCACTTGACTGAATTCGTGTTGAACATTTGGATGTTGTTCATGCTTCATGCTTCAAGCTTCATGGTGAGTGCAGTGCAGTGCAGTGCTGTGCTGTGCTTTATATCTACACACTCGTTTCAGATTAATGAAGAGAAACCTGTCTTGCTGTCTTTGCAATCCCAACTAGCTTTAACGTCCTCGTCTGTGCCACTGCCTGTAGTTGGAACGATGCTGCTTCCTAGGTAGATGAAATAACTAACTTCCTTCAAGTTTCTCCCGTTCATGCTGATTGCAGCTTGGTGTTGTTGTTGTTGTTGTTGGTGGTGGTGGTGGTGGTGATGATGGGGTTGGTTGGATATCTTCATCATCTCTGTCTTCTCTACATTCACTTCAAGTACCGCCTTCCCCACCATACCTCACCTCTACTGTCAACTTGTTAGTTTTCACTTGTACATCTTCGAGTTTGTGTGACATTAGACACAAGTCATCACTGGCGAAATCTAATAAATCTTCTAGGTTCTTTCCCTCAGTCCAACCAGTGTATCACCCTCTTATCACTCCTCACTGTTTGTTGCATTATCCAGTCAGTCAACTACGATCAGGAATATCATGGCTGATAGTTGACAGCCTTGTCGTGTCTTACTCCTGTCTTCACTTTACTCCAAATGCATCACTGATCTTCCCATTGTGTTGTGAATTACTTGGCATGTGACGTCTTCATATAGCTGCTGTTCAATGAGTTTGATAAAGGTTTGTGATACTGTGTAGTGTTGAAGCAGCTGCTTGCCAAATTATTTGTTGGTCGAGATTGTCGAAGTCGTTTTCAAAATCGATGAGGTGGAGATAGAGATGCAGTTGACTGCGATTTTATGCCCAGTTCACTGATGATGATGATGCGATGCGTTACAGTTAGACCCGCACATGATTTGTGTTTCGAGAATTGAGGTAGTTGTGGTCGTAATTTTGAATTGAGCGCATGCTTCATTGTCTTTCGGATGATGCGGCTTGATTCTATGCTTGGGGCGGACAGCAGGGTGATTATGGTCCAGTTATTAGAAAGACTTAGTTCTTCCTTCTTTGTGAGTTTGACATGGTAACCTTTCTTCCGATCGCCATGTCCTTTTTAGATTCAACTAAGCAGTTAAGTATTTTAACGCCGGGATGGTCTCTCATCTTAGTCAACCTATCTTTTTCTCTTCGAAGCCTCTTGAGATGAAAGCATTAGAGAAAAGTTTATCAACTCTCACGTAGACTGTTTTTGCTGGGCAACAAATATATCGACATACAGTAATTTATATTTAAAATTACCGTACAAAATCAATCTTGAACCAATGGTAAGATGTTTACACAAGAATATTCAGGTTTATTGAAGTGTTCTATTATAATGACTTATAAGAACACCTGAATGTAAAGTAATTCATTGGCAGAGTTAGAACAACAATGAATTAATTGTGTTTCGTCGCTTTCTCTTCAGCTGCATACACTCTATAAGTACTTAAGATATATATATTTAGAGAGAGAAATATATTCTACATAATTCACTTATTAAGTAGATGAGAATCGATTGATGAAATATATTGAAAGAATTCATACGGATTATATCTAACAATTCACATGTACATACTACAAAATATACATTCGAAGGATAAACAAAAGAGTTGAGACTAAACTTCATGAGAACATTCCAATTAAGTTAAGCTTAAAGGAAGTAATGTCTTCTAAAAATTTCATTATTCAACATCTAATGGATAGAGGATATGACATTCAAATCTTGAAAGCAATAAAAATAATTTATGAACAAGATAAAACTACAATTATCATCATATGAATTAAATTGAACTTATATATACAAAAAGAGGCAATTGTTAACCTTCAACTTCTTCATCATTTCAGTAGAACCCCTACCAAATTTCTGTATTTTCATTTCCCCCCCCCCTTCACTCCTATCTTAAAACCAAAGTCATAATCAATTCTTATTTCAATATATGAAATATAACCATCAAGATATGAGATGGTCTCTCATTACAGAGATTACACTTTCTAGTATATGGATTTGAAAGTTAAAAACGATTTATCAATCATATCAGCTGTTAGTAAGATATGAACTGATGATGATGATGATGAAGTCAACCTGAAGCTATGCAAAAGTTTATCACTAAACAACTAGGGTAGAAGGTGGATTCAATTTGGAAGTTTGTGAGAGTTTATTATTGATTTCAGATTGATATTGTTCATTGAATGATAACAGTTGGAGTTGTCATTGGTGACCAGATTTGAGAGATGATTCCTGAAGTTTCAGTGTGAAGTATTGACTGTTGTGGCCAACCAAGTTGAAAACATGAGGATAGTTACTCAACGACAACACTGGATAGAGATAGGTTTATATTGTGGACTGACAGAAGTAGGAACTATGAACCATAGGATTTCGTTGACTCTGTGGCTCAATGGTAACATGCTGGCCAATGAAACTCAAGGCTTTCTGCTTGATCCCTCGAGGGATAGGATCATGGGTGTACACTGCTGAAGAGTACTATACTAGGATGGAATACCTTTCCAAAATCAAGAAAATTGTTTCTGAACTGTATCCTGAAGATTTCATTTATATAGGTGACTATTTCATCTCAAACGTCTTCTAAAAATTACACAAATTCCATATGAAAACAGGTCAACATTCAGTTCAGTTGGTAACTTTTAAAGATACCACCAATAACAGGTATCTTGGACAGGTGAACTGATGATGATGATGATGATGATGAAGTCAACCTGAAGCTATGCAAAAGTTTATCACTAAACAACTAGGGTAGAAGGTGGATTCAATTTGGAAGTTTGTGAGAGTTTATTATTGATTTCAGATTGATATTGATCATTGAGTGATAACAGTTGGAGTTGTCATTGGTGACCAGATTTGAGAGATGATTCCTGAAGTTTCAGTGTGAAGTATTGACTGTTGTGGCCAACCAAGTTGAAAACATGAGGATAGTTACTCAACGACAACACTGGATGGAGATAGGTTTATATTGTGGACTGACAGAAGTAGGAACTATGAACCATAGGATTTCGTTGACTCTGTGGCTCAATGGTAACATGCTGGCCAATGAAACTCAAGGCTTTCTGCTTGATCCCTCGAGGGATAGGATCATGGGTGTACACTGCTGAAGAGTACTATACTAGGATGGAATACCTTTCCAAAATCAAGAAAATTGTTTCTGAACTGTATCCTGAAGATTTCATTTATATAGGTGACTATTTCATCTCAAACGTCTTCTAAAAATTACACAAATTCCATATGAAAACAGGTCACCATTCAGTTCAGTTGGTAACTTTTAAAGATACCACCAATGACAGGTATCTTGGACAGGTGAACTGATGATGATGATGATGATGAAGTCAACCTGAAGCTATGCAAAAGTTTATCACTAAACAACTAGGTAGAAGGTGGATTCAATTTGGAAGTTTGTGAGAGTTTATTATTGATTCAGATTGATATTGTTCATTGAATGATAACAGTTGGAGTTGTCATTGGTGACCAGATTTGAGAGATGATTCCTGAAGTTTCAGTGTGAAGTATTGACTGTTGTGGCCAACCAAGTTGAAAACATGAGGATAGTTACTCAACGACAACACTGGATGGAGATAGGTTTATATTGTGGACTGACAGAAGTAGGAACTATGAACCATAGGATTTCGTTGACTCTGTGGCTCAATGGTAACATGCTGGCCAATGAAACTCAAGGCTTTCTGCTTGATCCCTCGAGGGATAGGATCGTGGGTGTACACTGCTGAAGAGTACTATACTAGGATGGAATACCTTTCCAAAATCAAGAAAATTGTTTCTTAACTGTATCCTGAAGATTTCATTTATGTAGGTGACTATTTCATCTCAAAAGTCTTCTAAAAATTACACAAATTCCATATGAAAACAGGTCACCATTCAGTTCAGTTGGTAACTTTTAAAGATACCACCAATGACAAGTATCTTGGGCACGTTTCTTCTGCTCCACAAGGTGTCACCTCAGAGAAGAATCGAAGTTGGATGAAACAAATATTAAGTATAACTATTTCCTCACATACTTGTCATTCTCCATTGTTGTACTGACTCAAATTGTTCAACCTGTATTGACATACAGGCTCCTGTGAGGATGCCTCGATATTGCTCAAATATATATTATGGTAGTTTACTTGGTTAGCCTAGTCGATAACACTTTGCTGTTTGAAGCGATAGGTATGACGTTCGAGTCTGAGTGGGAACAACACCATTACACACTGAGATGTAGGTTCATCCAGCTGATGAATGAGTCCTGAATAGGCTGAAACACGCATCCTGAATTCTTCTACTAGCTACAACCAAGTAAATTGCAGTCGGAAATATTCAGGTAATAATCAGACAAAGTATTTGTAGAGGAGCCCATATACCAACACAGATGAAACAATTCAATCCAGTAAAACAAAGGAGAATTACAAGTAAATAATATTGTTCCACTGCATGACTCATGTAATAAATTAGCTGAAATAGAAATACGTTCTACCATAGTATTCAAGTAATACGTTTATAGTTGTCCAGATGTCAACTAGATGAACGTATATATATCTCGCTGTGAGTAGTGCTACCTCTACTTACCCTTCAACACAGTAACCATATTATATCAAGTCAAAATGGAATCCACTAATCTAATCAGTTAGGTTCAATGGAACATGTAGAAGGAGACTAGGAGTAAACACAAGTAATAAATAATCTGGTTACTCAAGTGATGAGTAATTTAGTGTAGTAGACTATTGAGTAACACGATGACTGCCCGAGGTGTAAATACATTTGATGAATGAGTCTACAATAGGATTAAGTAAACGTTCAGCAGTGCGAACCAGTAACTCCACCAAGGAGCTAACATTAGTCGTTTCTGGTTCCTTACAGGGTACGTTGTTGTTGAGCCACTGGGTTGGAATCCAATGGTCGATAGTTTCCTGCTTCTGTCAACTTTTATCCAATGCATTCATGGAGTGCCCATTGTGATATGCAACTAGGCTTGCTTCACCGATCACATCTTCTCATCTGGAAGCACTGGACAGATGAGGTGAAGCCATGGCAGCGTACTTTTGAGGAGTTCTATACCATGAAGGGTGAAGAAATTGTCCATTACTCCCAGATTTTTAATATTTCCCTAATTGATACCAAATGATTTATACCCATGATGAAAATTATTGAATAGTTTTTCTCTTCCAAATCTAAAGATATCCTTGTATTGTTCCGCATTTTTTATACAAAAGTGTTAAGAAGGAAAAAAAAGGTAAACTACATATTCAATTATAATGAATAATTATGATTCTAAGCATTTTTAAAAATGCTTACATGCACTTTGATGATAATCCAAACCTTTAATTAATCGACCTGTCCCAGGTGTACCATCTTGAAGATTGTCATTACTGTCCACATATTTACGATCTAAATCATTTTGACTTTGAGAATGTCGTTGATTATGAACACTTCTAAACAATGTGCACAACAAAAAAACACCATATAAAAATAAATTAGTGGAATAAATTTAGTCTATGTGATTGGTAACACATGCCAAGTAATTCACAACACAATGGGAAGATCAGTGATGCATTTGAATTAAAGTGAAGACAGGAGTAAGACACGACAAGGCTGTCAACTATCAGCCATGATATTCCTGATCGTAGTTGACTGACTGGATAATGCAACAAACAGTGAGGAGTGATAAGAGGGTGATACACTGGTTGGACTGAGGGAAAGAACCTAGAAGATTTATTAGATTTCGCCAGTGATGACTTGTGTCTAATGTCACACAAACTCGAAGATGTACAAGTGAAAACTAACAAGTTGACAGTAGAGGTGAGGTATGGTGGGGAAGGCGGTACTTGAAGTGAATGTAGAGAAGACAGAGATGATGAAGATATCCAACCAACCCCATCACCACCACCACCACCACCACCACCACCAACAACAACAACACCAAGCTGCAATCAGCATGAACGGGAGAAACTTGAAGGAAGTTAGTTATTTCATCTACCTAGGAAGCAGCATCGTTCCAACTACAGGCAGTGGCACAGACGAGGACGTTAAAGCTAGTTGGGATTGCAAAGACAGCAAGACAGGCTTTCCTTCATTAATCTGAAACCAGTGTAGAAATATACAGCACGGCACTGCACTGCACTCAGCATGACGCTTGAAGCATGAAGCATGAACAACATCCGAATGTTCAACACGAATTCAGTCAAGTGAGTCAGTGCTTCTATGTGATGGTTGAGAGACTTGGCGCGTCACGAAAGGCATTTCCAATAAACTACAGATATTGATCAACAACTGCCGCCTGCACTCACTCCATAGAGAAGATCAGATGGCAGTCCTGCCAGGAAGAATAAGCAACAAGGAGCTCTGTCTGTCAACGAACGAACTTAGAAGTTATCAGTCAACAAATCTGCTGAAGAAGAAGATAGTGTAGATGGATTGGGTATACAGTGAGGAGAAGGGGGATTGTGAACATGAGGCACCAGGCGAGGTCATTGAGTGGAACGGAGATGGTAAACGACGAGTTTGGTGTGTGAGATGAGGGTGATGTGGAGGAGATGATGTGAGTTAGAACTGAGATCGTGTGGGTAGTCTTGGAGGGATGTTTTGAAGACTGTGGAGAAGGGAGTGGAATGGAGACGTGTTACTGAATGCGTATATTCCACTGGGAACCCAAGGGAAATATAATAATAATAATAATGTGATCTTTATACTGACAAATTACCATGGGTGAAACTTTGGGACTGATAGTTTGATTGAGGTTGAGGACATGTATTTATAACAAGGCAAGTCGATGTGAATGATATCGTTTCAATAGCTTTATATTATCAATGATTGGGTTTATAATACATCAGTCTGTCCAGTTAATTAACGTGATGACTGAAATGGATGTTAGTTGGTTGGAAGCAATCAATAGAGAGCGTTGTTCGACGTTAATTTCGTGCCTTTTGACACTTATCTGCAAGGTGTATATATAACTACAAGAGAACCGATTTCCTAGCTAATACTCGGACCCATATCAATCAGTTTTTTAGTGAGTGACGTTAACACTGAGCTATTTGGACTGAGACTGATTTCATGTTGTACCAAATCGATGTAGGCTGATTTTATTCTGCATCCTATAAGTGCATATCTGTGTATATATTTTTTTAGACTTCATTCAGTTGGTCTACATACAAACGCAGAGACAACAATGGACATGCTCACACTACATATTCCCTGCAGAAGGTTTCAAAGGAAGAAAGGAAAGGTACCTGTCCACTGATTAGAAGAAGGGCTACCTTGTCAAACTTTCAAAGAGGGAAGACCTAAGTCTTTGCAAGAACCGACAAGAAATCGTGCTCCTGTCCGTCCCGAATCTGCATCACAACGGAAAGACTAAACAATGGGCTAGATTCAAAATTACCACCGGAACAGGCTGGCTGGCTTTAGGAAGAACAAATCATGTGCGGACCAAAGTGTAATGCTACGCTAAGCAACATCATGGAACAGAGTATAGAATGACAGTCAACTCTTCACCTCAACTTCACAAACTTTGAAAAGGCCTTCAATAGCATCGACCGAGAAGTTATTCGGCAGCTGCTGCTTCAACATTACGGTTTCAGTGTTACAAACCTTTATCAACCCCATTCAACACCAGCTATATACTATATGATGAGGCTAAATGCCAAGTGATTCAATACACAATGGAAAGGTCAGTGATGCTTTTGTAGTAAAGTGAAGACAGGTGGACAGGTAAGACAAGGTTGCCTAACGTCACCTATGATCTTCCTGACTGTGGTTGACTGGATCATGCAGCAAACAGTGAGGATTCAAAGAATGGGCATACGATGTGTGACCGATGGAGAGACACTAAAAAATTTGGATTTCGCCCAAAGGTTAGTTTTGTTGAATATCAGACGTCACACAAACTCGAACATGTACACGCGAAAACCAACAAGTTGACAGGAGAGGTGAGGCAGAGTAGCCAAGGAAGATGGGACTTCAATTGAATGTAGAGAAGACCGAGGTAATGAAGATACCCATCCAACAACAACAACAACATAAACAACAAGAGGCACCAATCAACATCAATGAGAGAAATCTAAACAAAGTAGTCTCACTCACCTACCCACCTACACACCTACATACCTAGACAACATCGTTTCAACTACACGCGGTGTCACAAGCACAGACGACAATGTCAAATCCAGTCAGGATCGGAAAGACAGCAAGACATGCCTTCATTCATTAATCTGAAATCAATGTGGACATCTACTGCTCTCCACTCAGCACAAAGCGTGAACAACATTCGGATTTTGAACACTGCCAATTCAGTCAAGTGAGTGAGTGTATCCATGTGATGGTTGAGAAACTTGGTGTGTCATGAAAGGCATTTCCAACAAAGTGCAGACATTCATCAACAGCTACTTCCCAGCTGCACTGGATAGTGAAGATGGAGATCAGATGGATGGATGGTTAGAATGATAAGAATAAGCAGCAAGGAGGAACTCTGGCTGGCTGGCTGACTGGCTGTCTGGCTGCCAACGAACCAACTGATCAAGTAGTTATCGCCTAACATATATGTGGAAGAAGAGAGTGGAGATGGATTGGGTATACACTGGGGACACCATTTGGGGACATCATGAACCAGGCCAGATCATCGAGTGTAACCTAGATGAGAAACGACGAGTTGAGCGTGTGAGATGATGGTGATATGGAGGAGATGATGTGAGTTAGAAATGAGAGCTTGTTGGCGGTGGTGGAGTGAGGTTTTGATGACTGTAGAGAAGAGGGTGGAATGGAGGCGTGCTAGTGAAGCGTTATATTCCACTAGGAATCCAAGGGACAAATAATAATACATACATACATACGTACATACATTCATATGTACATACAATGCACCATAGTCTAAATACAATGACTTCAACAACGATGCAATTCATCAGACTCTCATACCTTTTTCGTCATTCAACTTGCATATCAATACTTATGTGATCTAAATATCTTAAATTAAAAAAATGAACTGAATATTTACACAAATCAGATGTATTAAATGTGTCCGGCTACATAATTTCTTGGTATGTTTCATATTTTCTTCCGTCTATCTCTGAATACTACTGATAAAAGTAGTCAGTTAATATTTTCTGAAATTCGGATGCTCATGAAAAAGGTCAACAAACGAAATTTGATAAGCACTATAATTTATAGAATAAAGCCTATATGTTTAAAAGATACAGTTGGGGAGGAAGTAATAGCTTTATGCAGCATATAAATCGAAAATGGCTATCTGGATAGACGCATAAAGAAACATATGATCATAAAGGAGATTGTAACTGCCGAGAAAAAAACCATTATGCATTTAGATACAATTTACTGGTAAGGTGATTAGTAAGATATCGATTCAGAGAACTTTTGATGGTGGTAAATTATAGATTACTTTTTTCCTATGTCTAGTAGTGACATTAAAACTGTAAGTTGAATGCCGTAGACTGGCCAATTCCTGCTGTGTTTATCACTTCAACTGCTCCTGTGGAATCAGTTATGTTAGCCGCTACTCTTGAAATTTCATCTTCCATGCTCACGAATACCTCTCAACATGATGAAGTAAAGGTTTGGCAAAAACTATTAACAGTTCCAATACTAACACACTTGGTTCGAACGAATCATAAGATGGATATGAAGAAGTAGTTTTTAACTCCCTACTGGGTTTCCATCAACTTGTCAAAATGGTACTGGGATACAAATCCTTCAAATCATCGAAGATGTTAAGGTGGGGGAAAACCAAGATGAAAGAATCTGAGTTATATGGTCGAAAAAAGTATGTATTTCCATTAGAACTATCTTCGCTCTACTCGCGACTTACTACTTCCATGGTATTCTACCTCAGTTAAGCTATTTTTTGAATTCCATACTGTAGGTATCCCTTCATCTCTATGATATAAAATGATTTTGTCATATCGCTTAGCATTAGGAACATTCTATTAAGGTGTTATCCTTCAAATTATCTTTCACAGCTTATTTCATTCAGCTCTCATAAACACCTTCCTATTGTTTTATTAAATTACCTACCACCTTATGGTATTACATAAGCCATGTAACCGTTTAGATAATCATTTCGCACTATACACATAACATCGTTCAAGAATAATTGCAAAATGTTGTCAAGTTATTAAATCTAAGAAGAAAAAGAATAATGAACCCTTTCAGTGATTATCTACAAAGTCTAACAGTATTGAAGTTATGTACTTCTTGATGAATTACTATGATATAAAACATTCCCGAACAATATATAGTAGAGTTATGACTCATTGGTAAAGGGAGTTTGCATTCAATCAATAATTCACGGATTCGAACCCAGTTCCACTTAACGAGATCTTAGCCACAATCAAGTGGTATCAACCGTAACCGTGACATATTAGGTATGGTTTACTACTGACTAATGAATGAATGTGTACCAGATTACTGTGTATATTTCGATTTCAGTCAGAAAACAAAAAATATAAAAAAAGTCTTCATTTAAATGAATCCTAATCATTCATAAAAAGACTTACTTTGCCAAATTCAGTAGACTTCGACTCCTAGTAATGCAAAAAACAAGAAAGTAGAAGAAATGAATACATAAATAAAGAAGACGTTAACTATTGATAAGTGTCAGCATATGGTTATTATCATTTTTCGCTTGAGTTCTTACTGGAACAAACGGCTTCAGCAGCACGCCTCCATTCCACTCTCTTCTCTACAGTCTTCAAAACCTCACTCCACCACCGCCAACAGGCTCTCAATTCTAACTCACATCATCTCCTCCATATCACCCTCACCTCGCACGCTCAACTCGTCGTTTCTCATCTAAGTTACACTCGATGATCTGGCCTGGTTCATGATGTCCCCAAATGGTGTCCCCAGTGTATACCCAATCCATCTCCACTCTCTTCTTCCACATATATGTTAGGCGATAACTACTTGATCAGTTGGTTCGTTGGCAGCCAGCCAGCCAGCCAGCCAACCAGCCAGCCAGCCAGCTAGCCAGTCAGCCGGCTAGAGTTCCTCCTTGCTGCTTATTCTTATCATTCTAACCATCCATCCATCTGATCTCCATCTTCACTATCCAGTGCAGCTAAGCAGTAGCTGTTGATGAATGTCTGTACTTTGTTGGAAATGCCTTTCATGACACGCCAAGTTTCTCAACCATCACATGGATACACTGACTCACTTGACTGAATTGGCAGTGTTCAAAATCCGAATGTTGTTCACGCTTTGTGCTGAGTGGAGAGCAGTAGATGTCCACATTGATTTCAGATTAATGAATGAAGGCATGTCTTGCTGTCTTTCCGATCCTGACTGGATTTGACATTGTCGTCTGTGCCTGTGACACCGCGTGTAGTTGAAACGATGTTGTCTAGGTATGTATGTAGGTAGGTGGTTAGGTGAGTGAGACTACTTTGTTTAGATTTCTCTCATTGATGTTGATTGGTGCTTGTTGTTTATGTTGTTGTTGTTGGATGGGTATCTTCATTACCTCGGTCTTCTCTACATTCACTTGAAGTCCCGTTTTCGCCGCCATACCTCTTCTGTCAATTTATTGGTTTTCACCTGCAAATAGTTGGCAACGTTTTCCTACTCCTCTCTTCACTTCGATGGCATCACCGAGTTGTTGAATGAGTTTGATGAAAATTTGTGGTGCTCCGTAGTGTTCGAGTAGCTGGTAAATTACTTTCGGTCGAGGCTGTCGAAGGCCTTTTCAAAACCCATGAAGTTGAGGTAGATCGTTGATTGCCATTCTTTGCTCTGTTCATTGATGAAGATGCCTAGCGTAGCCTTTACTCTCTCCATGATGATGTGTCTTCATATTCTGGTTTGGGAAGGACAGAAGTAGTCGATTCCACGCCAGTCCTTGCAAAGACTTAGGTCTTCCTTCTGTGGGAGTTTGACAAGGTAGCCCCTCTTCCAATTAGTAGACAGGTATCTTCCCTTCCTTACTTTCGCAACCTTCTGCAAATGTTTGCTGTTTTCTCTGCGTTTGTTTCTAGTGCTTCTGGAGGAATTTCATCTGGTCTTGCTGCTTACACGAATTTTGTTGTGTATAGGGTGTGGTTAAACAAAGAATTATCCATGGAAATCATAATTGGAAACCAGCCTCAATGAATCGATATGTTTGTTTACTAAGTTATTCTTATTGTTATCAATTTCAATAAAGACAACTTGTTGATAAGTATTTTGTTTTCATGTTTTTTTCAAATTTTAATATATGATATTAAAGTAGGTATAAGTGTATAGAGTGAGAGAAGAAAATAAATGAAGGATGATAGAAGTTAGAAACTGTGAACTACTGAACTCCGACTCAGTGGTTGAATGGTCAAAGCGTTTTGCCATGAAACCCGAAGGTCGTGAGTTTGACCGCTACCTGGGTTGTGGGTCGCTTACTGCCGAGGAGTCCCATACTAGTACGAAACAGCTATCCAATACTTCCAAGTTTTTTCGTGGTTTCCCAACTGATTTCAGTCTATGATAAATACTACTGCTAAATATATCAGAAATCATGACAAAATTACTAAGACCACTTGGAATTGATGTGGCGCCTCATACACCAACAAATTCCCTCCAAATACTATTATGCAGACCAAAGGATGGAACAACCAAAGAAGACAAACCGAATATCATTTATAAAACCAACTGGAATAACTGTAGTCAACACTATATTGGACAAAGTGGCCGCCCACTTCGTCTTCGTCTACATGAACACTAATTGGCTATTAAACGCCACGACATTTCGTCACTCATTTCAATGCATGTGGATAATTATTGACATGAATTCAATTTCGACAATGTAGAAATCATGGAGGGAGACAGGAAACACAAAGAATATCAGAGAATTCCTAGAAGCTTGGCATTCAGATCAGTCAGTCAGTCAGTCAGTCAGCAATCAACAGATATATAGCCATGCACCTAATCTATCAACTAATAAGAAAAATGATAAACGACAGAAACGTCAGAGATCAAGCAGAGAGAGACAGCCAACAGGAAAATCTATGCAGTCAGTCAATGACACAACAATCAAATGAAACAACCAACCACGGACCATATCTTCAGAGCAAGCCACAAAATCAGTTATGGAGAGATATTGTGACAGCTCACTTCATAGTGAAGTTAATGGTGATGATGTCATTGTCTAGAAAGATACGATTAAGCAACCTAGCTGAGAGAACACAATACAACCAAGACTATCCACCTGAGCTACAAATATTCTCTACTATTTCGAACATTAATTAAAAATATCTAACTTTAAAAGACACCAAAAAGTGAATGAATCTGTGCCATTGTCACAAAGAATATGTCGAGGACCATAGCTTCAAAAACTCCATCACTCTACACGACTTGAACCAAGAGTCAGAGACTTCGTGAATTGATGCCATGTCTCGGTCTGGTCACCTTGATGCCTTTTCCAACTTAATCCAACTTTTCTTAAGATTTCGTGCCGAGGTAAGTGGTGGCTTGACGTATGCATCACGACCTCGTCAATCACCTTCCCTTCCTTGTCTAGTACCATCTGCCTGGCTTTGATATTGCTCAAGTGTGAATAAGTCCACGTTCACTACACCAATCAAATCTTTGTTCGTTTGGTTAGTTGGATGGAATTAATCAGTAGGAAACCCTACTTGACTTTAGTTTCATGCTTTTTAGCACTCGTCAGCAAGACACATCTGCAACCTTGGAGGAAGCGATTGTCTTCCTCGAAACCCGAATCCAGGCTACCCAGTGCTGCAGTCAGAAACGCTGCCACTAAGTTATTCGGGCGCCAAATGATTCCCTGTAAGACTGAGTTAGATAGATTGACTGGTCAATGATAAGTAATCAACTTCACATTGTCTAGTCTCATGTGCTGACTGAATTTTGTCGATTAATTTGCAATGTTGCCACCAGGTTAGTTGACTGAACTTCACAATGTATTGAGAGTGATTTTAGTAGGATGGATAGATCGTCAGGAAGCTCTGTATTTATACCATTGTTTGTTTGTTTACGTCCGAATACTGTAAAGCTATACACTCACACTAATACGTATGGATTTATTCAAAGTTTCTAAAGGGATCGATTTGATTAATCAAAAACCATTGTTGAAACATTTATTTCAATAATAATTCGGTTAACTGAGACTAGCAGAGGAATTCAAAACGCGCATTTTGTCCTAGCTGGGAAGTACTCATCAGCTGGATATACTTGTACCCCAGTACAGTGTGATGTTCTTCACAATGTGACTCGAAACTCGGACCCATCGGTTCAGTAGCACATCTCTATTTCACTCTCTCCTCGTCAGTCTTCTCAACATGGCACCATGACTATCTATCAGCTTTGATTTCTTCTTGACATCATCTCATCCGTGTCACTCCCCATACCCCGAACTAACTCGTCATTTACGACATCGGTTCCACTGGACGGACTGACACGTGATCTCCACAAATCTTTTTCTGATGCCATGGCCAATCCAATTCATATCTACTCTCTTCTTATGCATATTTGTTAAGCTATAGCTTCTTGCTTCATTGGTTTGTTGTCAGCCATCCAGAATTCCTTGTTTCTCATTCTTATTATTCTGACCATCTGATCTCCATTTTAAGTATTGAGTGAGAGTAGGTGACAACTGTTGATCACGTATGTCTGCAGTCTGTTGGAAATACTTTTCGTAAGGTGCCAAGTATCTCAACTATCACATACAAGTACTGACTTGAGTCACATTGACAGTGTTGAAAACCCGGATGTTGTTCACGCTTTATGTTGAGTGCAGTGCAGTGCAGCACACCTCCACACTGATCTCCACAGATTAATCAAGGTCTGTCTTGCCATATTTCCAATGCTGACTGACTTTGACGTCCTCATCTGTGCCTGCGGCCTGTGGCCGCCTGTAGTTGAAACGATACTGTCTCCTAGGTAGATTTCTCCCTCTCATGGTGACTAGTGCTTCTTCTTGTTGTCGTTGTTGTTGAAGTCGTTGGTTGGGTATCCTGATCAACTCTGTCTTCTCTACGTTCACCCGAATGGAGTCCCATCTTGGTTGAGCTGCCTCACCTCTTCTGTCAACTTGTTAGTTTTCGTCTATAGATCTTCGAGTTTGTGCGACATAAGACATTAGACATAAATCATCATTGGTGAAATGCAAATATTCTAGTGTCTTTTCATCGATCAAACGACATATGCTTTTTTCGTTTCTTGACAACATTATTATTATTTGTCGATTGTGTTCCTAGTGGAACATAGGGCTTCAATAGCAAGTCACAATTTCACTCTCTTCTCTGCAGTCTTTTTAACCTCGCTTCATGACTGCTCAAATGCTTTCATTTCTTCCTCACATCATCTCCTCTATGTCACCTTCACACATCCAACTAACTCGTCGTTTCCCATTTGGATTCCACTAGATGGCCTTTGCCTGACTCGTAATGTCCTCAAATGGTCTTCTCATTGTATGTTTAACCATAACGTAAAATAACAAACAGTAGAGTAAATTGCCAATTATTCATTGAAATTAAACCTTAATGAATCAAGTTCTTAGTTATTCTAGTTGGACTGAAAAACATTCAGTCAGTTAGTCCTACACAGTTAATTCAAGTTGATATTCACCATAAACTGAAACATATGTGAAGAAGTAATGAACTACTGGGATCACTGGACAGCCGTTTCGTCCTACCTTGTATGAGAAACCTCAGAAGGGCGTACCAATGACCACATGAAGCATCGAATATAGGACTAGCATCTTCCTCATCAAGCAGGTTCACATCTTCTGTTCCTGTCAGTTTACGACACAGTACGACCTCTATCCATTGTCCTCACTCCTAATTTGGCTGACTTCACGGGTCACAACCTTGCATAAGAAATCCAGCTACAGAACCTGAGGTCGTGGGTTTGATCCCTGGTGAGGTCATAGGCATGCACTGCCTAGGAGTTTCATACTATGTAAGATGAAGCAGTTACCCAATGCTCCCAGGTTTCCAATGATTTTCCATCTTAAGTCTATCCAAAACGAATGTCAGCCAGGAATCAATGAATGAAACCCAATCAATCTCCAAAACTGAATTCTTACTATGCTCGATATGCAGCGAACTACACTAATTTGTTCATAGGAAAAGACGGTTGTAGCAAATGAGCCATACATTTGTGTAAGAAGTTCAAGCTAACAAAAGGGAGGACAGTAATTTATCTTCAGCTATATAGCATAATACCTTGTGAACACAGTACACTCAGCTTCTTTTTGAGAACTCATTCTAAATCCTTTACAACATTCTATCAGGCGGCTTGAAAGAGAATAAGATCAAGGCATTTACTGAAGCACTAGCCAGCTAAATGTTCAAACTAGCGCTATGACTCTATGGCTGTCATGAAGCCTTGAATACCACAGATTTATTCTGTATTACGTAATTGTACTTTTCATTTTCATAGTCCCCTATTTAGTTTCCTACTGTAAATCCTCATTTGTATTACATAATTGCCTTTCCTTATAGGAAATATATTTTTACCCAAGGACGGGAATAATTCTGAAATGTTCCACCCATTATAATGTACAACTTAATAAATGACTTCGTTGAATACAAACGTTTTCTTCCCCTCAACTGTTTTTTTATATCCTTGATATATAATAATAATGGCTTTCTACTGAGTAATGATTGAGGGTGAAATGAAAACTTGAACCGTGGCTTGATTCAAACCAGAGACCACCAGGTTTTCGGCTAGATGCTCTACTAACTGGACCTTGAAGCTCAGTTGGTAAAGCATCGAGCTGGAAATCTGGTAGTCACTGGTTCGAACCACGCCACAGATCAAGTTTTCATTTCACCCTCAATCGTCACCCAGTATAAATACTAGACGGCTGAACTACAGCTATCTCAGATAGTCGAATGAAAATAATGAGTATATACTGAAAGCTATTACGGGAATATTCTATAGACGTTTGAGCGTGTCATATAGCATCAATTGAAAAGAAACAGTGTATATGTATCCATAGTAAAATGAAATAAGTATAAATTACACAGAAATAAGAATATTTACTCCATCTACAGTTTTCTTGAAAATACAGAGTCAGCTTAGGTAAACAGTCACATCAGCAATTAGATTGTTACATAACACTTAAATAACACCAAGTTAGGTAAACTTTGAAATGTTTGCTTTGAAAAAAAAAACACAAGTTGATTAATTACTTCATTCTTAACACCTTTTTCCTCGCATACAGCATGATGTAAATATGGTATCTTATTATTATTACTTTACCCATGGGTTCCTAGTGGAACATAAGGCTTCAGTAGCACGTCTCTATTCCAATCTCTTCTCTACAGTCTTCAATACCTTGTTCAAACACTGCCCACAAGCTTTCATTTCATCCTCATATCATCTCATCTATATCACCCTCGCATTGCACACTCAACTCGCTGTTTCAACTGTGGATTCCACTCCATGACCTAGCCTGGAGCTTGATCTCCCCAATTCACCTGCTCACTGTTTACCTAATCCATATGCACTCCATTCTTCTACATACTTCTTGACACATAGCTACTTGATCAGTTGGTTCGTTGCCAGACAGCCAGTCAGCCAGCCAGCCAGAGTTCCACCTTGCTGCTTATTCTTATCATTCTAACCATCCATCAATCTGATCTCCATCTTCACTATCCAGTGCAGCTAAGCAGTAGCTGTTGATGAATGTCTGTACTTTGTTGGAAATGCTTTCCATGACACACCAAGTTTCTCAACCATCACATGGATACACTGACTCACTTGACTGAATTGGCAGTGTTCAAAATCCGAATGTTGTTCACACTTTGTGCTGAGTGGAGACCAGTAGATGTCCACATTGATTTCAGATTAATGAATGAAGGCGTGTCTTGTTGTTTTTCCGATCCTGACTGGATTTGACATTGTCGTCTGTGCCTGTGACACCGCGTGTAGTTGAAACGATGTTGTCTAGATATGTATGTAGGTAGGTGGTTAGGTGAGTGAGACTACTTTGTTTAGATTTCTCTCGTTGATGTTGATTGGTGCTTTTTTTTTTATGTTGTTGTTGTTGGATGAGTATCTTCATCACCTCCGTCTTCTCTACATTCACTTGAATTCCCGTATTCGCTGCCTCACCCCTTCTGTCAATTTGTTGGTTTTCACCTGTACATCTTCGAGTTTGTGCCACGTAAGGCATTAGACATAAATCATCCGTGAAGTTTAAATTTTTTAGACTGTTTTCATTGGTCAAACAGCGTATGCCTATCTTCCTGCTCCTCATGGTTTACTGCATGATGCAGCCCACTAGAATCAGGAATATCATAGGTGATAGTTGACAGCCTTGTCGTGTCTTAATCCTGTCCCCTGTCTTCACTTCAAAGGCCTAATCGAGCTTTCAGTTATGGATCACTTGGCATGTGGCGTCTTCATACAGCTGCAGTTGAATGAGGTTGATAAAGGTTTGTGATACTGTGTAGTGTTGAAGCAGCTGCTTGCCAAATTACTTGTCGGTCGAGGCTGTCGAAGGCGTTTTCAAAATCGATGAAGTAGAGGTAGAGATGCAGTTGACTGCCATTGTATGCTCTGTTCACTGATGGTGATGCGAAACGTTACAATTAGATCCGCATATGATTTGTGTTTCAGGAATTCAGGAAGTTCCGGTCGTAATTTTGAATTCAGCGCATCCTTCAGTCTCTTTAGGATGACGCGGCTTGATTCTATGCTTGGGGTGCACAGCAGCGTGATTATGGTCCAGTTCTTGTAAAGTCTTAAGTCTCCTTCCTTTGGGATTTTTACAAGGTAGCCCTTCTGCAGTATTGGTGTGAGCATGTTCGCTGTTATCTCTGTGTCTGTTTTCAGTGCTTCCGACAAAATTCCATCTGGTCCTGCTGCTTTCTCAAATTTTAGCTGTTTCTATGGCATTCAGAACTTCTGCTTTTTTCGGAAAACCTGTGTTCATTTGTAGTTCTATCGTTGATGGTGGTATTTCTGGACGAGTTGCAGGTGGTGGTCTATTCAAGAGTTTTTTTGAATTGGTCAACACGATCATTTACACAGGACTATTGTCCAATAGGCAGATAGAAAATCGTTCAGTTACAAACACTCTGATGAAGAGTAGGTATGTAGGGAAACTATCAGATCATCATTGTTTTACAAACTTTGATACTAACTGTTCATATTTTTCACCAATACAGAATATAAAAGTTAAATTTTGTCTTTTTCTTCACTATTCATAATATAATATTAATAATCTCGTATAATTAATAAATTAAATGATATAGTAATATACTACTTATTTTTAAAACAAATTTACTTACCGTGAAACATTAGGCTGTGGTATAGCAGGTAGACTAGAGTTGAGTAACATTAATTCCTTTTGACAACGTCCCCTAGGGATTTGTAAAAAAAGAAAATTACATAAGAAAAAAAACGATATACTCTTCTCTTGTTTTCTTCTGATTGCCAACCGAGATATTGACAATAGATATGTAAGATTGTAACAATTAAGAGAATAAGTTATACTAGTATAGTATGTCGTCTCTACCTTTCTTTCTTTCTCTTTCTTTTATCATCGGTGACGTTATAATCAGTAACATTCTCTCATCATTTTTTTAAAGTGAAAAACTTATTTATTGATTTAAACAATTGAAATACTAAATAATATACATCTATTGTTTGTTACTATGACTACGTGAAAGAAAGAATAAACACAAGAGAAAAGGTAATAATAATTTTGATAAATGTTATCGGTATAATTAACCATATTATTATCATTGGTATATCATAATTAAGGGTCTTATTTTATGAAGGAAAAACAAACTTTCCCTACAACTTAAACTTTTAGTCTAGTCTGGTTTAGTAATCAAGAGGATGATGATGATGATGATGAGAAGGAGGTGAAAGAAGTAGACAAATATAATTATGCTTTTAATGTATCCATAAGGAAGTAATAAATCTAGTCATAACCAACTGATAAGTCTATGAAATTTAACAGTACAGTTTTCTTATACTCCATCAAAATTAGTAGGTATAAATGTAATAGGTACATCGAGTTAGGGAGTTTATAAATCAAGTTGAATAAAGTTAAGAAATGTATTATTGCGATTATTTGAGATGAATGGAGATTTTTAATTTAAAAGTAGTATTCATCATGGACTGACAACAGTTGGGGAACCATTGAAAATCTGGGAGTATTGGACACCTGTTTCGTCCGACTAGTATGGGACTCCTCAGCAGTACGCATCCACGACCCGGCTACGGATCAAACTAAGCACCTTCAGGTTTCACGGTGAACGCGTTAACCATTCAGCCAGTGGGTTGGTTTCTAATAGTTCACAATTTCCAACTTCAGTCAATTCACGACATAGTGCAACTGTCAACCAAGGTCTTCAGTTAGCATCCACTTCACTTCCAATTGGCTGACCCCAAAGGCCACGGCTTCTCATTAGAACTTCCTACTATCCATCTGGAAGTAAGTCACTAGTGAGGACCATACAGTAATGTATTTTTGAAATGAATGGAGATTTTTTAAAATGTAAAAGTAGTATTCATCATGGACTGACATGAGTTGGGGAACCATTGGAAATCTGAAACCTGAAGATCCTCAGTACCATCCGTAGCCGGGTCGTGGGTGCATACTGCTGAAGAGTCTCATACTAATCGGACGAAACGGCTGTTCAGTGCTCCCAGATTTTCAATGTTTCCCCAATAGATGTCAGTCCATGATGAATACTACTTCTAAATCCATTATTACCTTCCAAGGATAACTCAAGAAAATTACTTCCTTATTTATTCATTATCCTTCTTAATTTAAAACAATTTGTGAAAAATTTATGTGATATTTATCAAGGAGTTATCAATGACAAGTGGATACGGTCTAACTTAACGATAAATCGATAAAGTAGAAGTACATATTATCTGCAGGATATGTGGAACAATTATCTATTCACCTTCTGAAACTTTATAACACAGGTGTTCAAGAGATTGAAAAAAGGGTATATCCTTTACTGAAAAGTATGAACTAAATGAAGTAATAAACAAAGTGAAAGAATTTTTGTTCACCACAGTTCATCTTGGAGCAGCTAGTATTATTATTTGTTCATTGGGTTCCTAGTGTAATATAGAGCTTCAATAGCACATCGAAATTTCACTCTCTTCTCATCAGTCTTCTCAACACGACATCTGTGTCACCCCCCAAAAGTCCAGCTAACTCGTCGTTTCTCAATCTTCAGTATCGAGTGAGAGTAGGTGGCAACTGTTGATCACGTATGTCTGCAGTCTGTTGGAAATGCTTTTCCTAAGGTACCAAGTATCTCAACTATCACATACAAGTACTGACTTGAGTCACATTGACAGTGTTGATAACCCGGATGTTGTTCACGCTTTATGTTGAGTGCAGTGTGGTGCAGAGCAGTGCAGTGCAGCACATCTCCACACTGATCTCCACAGATTAATCAAGGCCTGTCTTGCCATATTTCCAATTCTGGCTGACTTTGACGTCCTCATCTGTGCCTGCGGCCTGTGGCCGCCTGTAGTTGAAACGATACTGTCTCCTAGGTAGATTTCTCCCTCTCATGGTGACTAGTGCTTCTTCTTGTTGTCGTTGTTGTTGAAGTCGTTGGTTGGGTATCCTGATCAACTCTGTCTTCTCTACGTTCACCCGAATGGAGTCCCATCTTGGTTGAGCTGCCTCACCTCTTCTGTCAACTTGTTAGTTTTCGTCTATAGATCTTCGAGTTTGTGCGACATAAGACATTAGACATAAATCATCATTGGTGAAATGCAAATATTCTAGTGTCTTTTCATCAATCAAACAGCGTATCCCCATCTTCTCAATCCTCATAGTTGTTTCTTGTCTGATTCAGTCCAGTCGAATCGAGTCGACCACAGTCAGAAAAATGATGGGTGATAGTAGGCGGCAACCTTGTCTTACCTGTCAACCTATCTTAACTTCACTTCAAAGGCATCACTGAGCTTTCCACTGTGAATCGCTTGTCATGTAGCATCATTATATAGCAGATAGCTGGTGTCGAATGAGGTTGATAAAGGTTCGCGGCAGTGAAAGCGTAGTGTTGAAGCAGCTGTCAATATGCTTCTCGGTCGATGCCTTGATGGAAGGCTTTTTCAAAGTCTATGAAGTTAAGGTAGAGAGTTGATTGCCATTCTATACTCAGTTCTATGATAATGCGTAGCCTTGCAATTTGATCCTCACACGATCTGTTTTTTCTTGAAGTCAACCTTATCTGGTCAGTATATTTATCGTAATAATTTTGAAGACTGTTCTCATCAACGGAATTCTTATTATAGTGAAGCGAAGGGTTAAGGATTAAACACATGCTAGTAGTGGACTTAAAAGACAGACGAACAAGAATAATCGGTGAAGAACGTTGTACAGAAGTGCATCAGTTGAAGTTGTCATACTTTAGAGGAGCAGCATGTAAAGAATAAGTGGATAGATAAAGACAATGATGCATAGGAGAGTGAATTTTAAAGTAAACGTCAGCCAAAATAGTTAAGCTTTATAAAACATCGAAGAGTGAATGCATCTGCCTTACTGTCAACGATTTTCAGCTATTTCTTATTATTTCGCTCACTTCAGCTAAACAATAGTTTATACCTTTATAAATGACTCAAAATAATCGTCAGTGACTTCATGTCACCACCTTGTCTAACTTCTTCTAGGATGATGCATCCAGGTCGGCGATGGATTGATGTAGGCAGTGCATGTAAACTTGAAACAGATGAAAGTATATAAAGGAAGATTCATTACTTCAGTAATTGTGTATAAAACCATCCTAAGCAGATGTTTCTCTTATGAAACCTAAAATGGGATTAAATCTAATTGATACTATCTGATTCCTTCAGTTTTGTATGATTTACCTAAGGCTAATTTCATTGGTTATTATAATAACCAAGACAGGCGTTAATTAGCCTGAAACCAGTGTTGAGATCTTCGGCACTCAGCATGTGGAACAACATCCGAATTTTCAACACCAGCGTCAAGTTAATGCTTCTATATGGCTTAGAGATTTGGCGCGTTACAAAAGAGATTTCAAACAAACTACAGACATTCATCAACAACTGCCTATTCCCGTTACTGAAGATTAAATGGCCAGAAAGAATGAGCAACAAGGAACTCTAGTCTGCTAACGAACCAACCAAGAACCTATCACTCAACAAATATGCAGTAGAAAAGAAGTGGAGACGTATAGTGCATACACTAAGAAGACCGATTGAGAAGACATCACGTGCCAGGCCAGTTGCTCGAGTGGAACTCAGATAGGAAACGATGAGTTGGGCGTGTGAGGCGAGGGTGACATGGAGGAGATCGTGACAGGAGGAAATGAGAGCTTCTGGTCTGTCGTAGAACCAGGTTCAAAAGTTTACAGAGAAGAGAGTGGAGTGGAGACGTGCTACTGAAGCCCTATGTTCCATTAGGAACCCAAAGGACAAATAATATTATAATAACTTCACAATTCCAGTAACTAAATATCCATTTCATTGTTATAATAAACTACTTGTAATGATTACCACTGAAAATATTTTTAAATGGTCCCAAGTTGTTATTCATAGTGGACTGACATCAGTTAGAGGAACAAAGGAAACCTTGGAACACTGGACTGCAGCTGTTTCGTCTGACTAGTATGGGACTCCTCAGCAGTGCTCATCCACGACCCCACATCACCAGTGATCGAACCCGCAACCTTCAGGTTTCCGTGGCCAGCGTGTTGCCATTGAGCCACTGGATCAGAATCCAATGGTCCATATTTAAAACACCTGTTAGCTCACGATTTAGCGCGACCGCCATCCAATCTCATCGTTGAGTAACTGTCTTCACGACCATTAGGCTTGAGTTTAACTATCTGAGATATCTATGGTTTAGATAACTTGTATTACTGATACTACTTGAGATGATTATGAATGGAAGAGAAATGTGAGCTATAGCAAAATTCAAACTAGTTGTCTTCAGGTTACCATCCTGGTGCTCTACAAGATTCATTGATTGACTCAATCTATATTTCACTTTAATTACCAGTAGTTTCATCGGATTGTAATTAGTAGAGTATCTGGTCGGTGATCCGAAGTTTGTTAATTTGAACCTTCTTATAATTCAGATTTTCATTTCATATTTACTCATCATACAGAATCGTTATTGTGTAACATGTTCACAGGATTAATCAGTTAACATACTTGATATGTGAATATTCATTGAAAATCGGTTATTGTTTAGACTAATGTATTGATGATATCTTGATACAAGAACTAAAGGTACTGGCAAAATCAGTTGAAAATCATACTGTTCCATACAGGAAATAGTTCCCTGTAAGTAAATTAGTCTAAACATTTGATTATTCAATGGTTGGTAAACTTTACCATTTATGCCTGTTTGAGTTTATAACATTACCTTGATTGAAAGGATGAATATGTAGGGGTGGGTGGGTGTTGCTATTCCATAACGTTTGACCAATCCTGCTTAACTTGATGTGCTCTAGTGCCTGCTTAACCAGTACCTTACCTAACATGTAAGTACTGATTATTATTATTTTATTATTTTTCCCTTGGGTTCCTAGTGGAACATAGGGCATCATTAGCACACCTCCATTCCATTCTCTTGTCAGCAATCTTTACAACCTTGCTCTACGATTGCCCACAAGCTCTCATTTCTTCCTCACATTATCTCCTCCATGTCAAACTCGCATTGGACACTCAACTCGTCCTTCCAACTGTGGATTCCACTTGATGACCTGGCCTGGCACGTGATGTCCCCGAATGGTTTTCTCAGTGTATACCCAATCCATCTCCACTCTCTTCTTCTGCGTATTTGTTGACACATAGCTTCTTGCTTAGCTGGTTTGTTCCGAGAGTTCCTTGTTGCTTATTCTTTTTGGCAATCTATCTGATCAAATCTTCAGTATGGAGTGTGGATAGGCAGTAGCTGGTTGACGAATGTCTGTAGTTTGTTTGAAATAGTTTTCATGACACCTCTAAGTTTCTGAACCATATAGCACCACTGACTTGACTGAAATGGTATTGAAAATCCGAATGTTGTTCACGCTTTATGCTAGCTGCAGTGCAGTATATCTTCACACTGATTTCAGGTTGATGAAACACAAATCAAAAGGACTGGTTCGGGAATATATTCGATGAATTAATGTATTTAATTACAGTAAATGTAATAGTAATGAATAGGGGAAAAGTTTATTTAACTTATTTGGCTATTGTAGTTGAGTTAAGGACTCTGAGTACATGCGTGCTATCCAGCACTAAGGAAGCACAAAATGGCTTTCAAGCCTGTTCGGATGCATCCAGAGGCGAGCTAGAGGTTTATTTAGTTAGTTAATAGTCTATGCAATACATATATAACCTTGGATGATATTAAGTTAATTAGAAAAAGGATATAAAATTTTTACTTAATAAAGACAATGTTATATATTAGTAAAGTTTTAATTCAATAATTCAATCTTACGTGAAAGTATAAAACTGACGACGTTTAAATAAACCACCGCTGGCTTTCGATTCCTTTGCATCAACTGACCGATTTAAACTATAAAATCAAATGGAATGGTTAATATTCACAAACAATAAAATGCAAATAAACATAATTTCAAGATTGATATTATATAAAATTGATGATAAACATATTGGATAATCAGAAACATTGAAAAAAAAATCACTATTATTCATCTGTCTAACATGATATACAATTGTAGGAAGGTTTATCGCTTTGAAGACGGAGGTAATGAAGATACCCATCCAACAACAACAACAACATAAACAACAAGAGGCACCAATCAACATCAACGAGAGAAATCTAAACAAAGTAGTCTCACTCACCTACCCACCTACCTACATACATATCTAGACAACATCGTTTCAACTACACGCGGTGTCACAGGCACAGACGACAATGTCAAATCCAGTCAGGATCGGAAAAACAACAAGACACGCCTTCATTCATTAATCTGAAATCAGTGTGGACATCTACTGCTCTCCACTCAGCATAAAGTGTGAACAACATTCGGATTTTGAACACTGCCAATTCAGTCAAGTGAGTGAGTGTATCCATGTGATGGTTGAGAAACTTGGCGTGTCATGAAAGGCATTTCCAGCAAAGTACAGACATTCATCAACAGCTACTACCTAGTCGCACTGGATAGTGAAGATGGAGATCAGATGGATGGATGGTTAGAATGATAAGAATAAGCAGCAAGGAGAAACTCTGGCTGGCTGGCTGACTGGCTGTCTGGCAACGAATCAACTGATCAAGTGGCTATCGCGCAACATATATGTGGAAGAAGAGAGTGGAGATGGATTGAGTATACACTGAGAAGACCATTCGGTGACATCACGTGCCAGGCGATGCCTTCGAGTGAAATCCACAGTTGAAACGACGAGTTGAGTGTGCAATGCGAGGGTGATATAGATGAGACGATATGAGTTCGAAATGAGAGCTTGTGGGCTGTCGTGAATGCAGGTTGAAATGATTACAGAGAAGAGATTGGAATGGAGACGTGCTACTGAAGCGGTATATTCCACTACGAACCGAAGAGATATATAGTAATAATTAATAATAATAGGTGAGATCTGATTTAGATCAGGTTGAAAGCGTTTTATAATAATCATTTCTGTGAAGCTGTATAATTCAGACAATTTACGTTTTTTTATTTTAAGAGCACTTCAAATTTCATCCTGATATTCTGTGTCTACGAGGTGTCTGCCAGTTTTTGTAGTTAGAATCTTTGTTTCCTTCTAGACACAGATTCGTTAGAATACGCTTAGTGGACCGAATGGATACCTTCTTTCCAGTCCTTCCAATATGTTTGGTACCGCAAGTGCATGTAAATTTATAAATGAAGTCGGAGTTGAAATAAGCAGATTAGTTATCCAATTTTGGCTGGTTAAATGATTATATACTCCTTTGAATGTAAGGAGAATAAAATATTTTTTTTCATTTTCAGCAATTGGGTGCTTATTTCTCTCTTTACCTGTTTTTTTTCTATACTTCATAATCATCCTCTTAGGATATCCATTTCCTGGGAAACATTTCTCACCAATAATTAGTTCTTTCGTTAACTTATTCACATAACAAATGTTTCTAGCTTTACCGTTTATAGAAAGCCAACATCAACAGGTCAGTATACGCACTTCTTTTGTACTGTATCCCTCCGATACAAAAGGAACCTATTGAAATGCTTAGCATATCGTGCCTCAGCTATTTGCTCAGAGGATGCTATAAAAGAAGAGTGCACCATCATTCGTGATCTACTTAGGAGGAATGGCTACCCAGACAAGTTTGTAACTAAGCATACGAATATTCCGGGGGTTAAAACAATTCCAACTGTTCCTATGAGTGACATTGCCAGTGAGATCATCACAAAACGCATAAAAAGAGTCTTGCGTAAAGCATTCCCAGCCGCCAAATTATTTCACGCCTTCTACAACCGCCTGATTCTAGGTGCAAGAAATAAAGACAAACTGCTGGATTCTGCCACTTCTGTGTGCATTTATTAATCAAACTGCTCCTGTGAAGCTAGTCACATTGGGCGTACAATGAGACAGGTCCATCGTCGAATTTCTGAGCACCACCAATCATGGTTGAACAAGGGACAAATTAGAACTACAATGACCTGCATACTTACACATTTAGTTGACACAAGACATCAAGTGGATACTAGAAAAGCCTTCAAAATCATCCATCAGATTCCAATTGATTTACCACATGGATTATGCACTCGGTTACTTCACATAGCAGAGGTGATTGCAATCTACCTTTACAAACATACCTATCCTTTGTATCCAAAAGAAGTTTGTTCAACCACTTTCATTATTGTGCCCTCCGTCACAACATGATGTAACTTCTAGGTTCACTTTGTACACCTCTTCCCCATTCCCCTTGTTTCTATTAATATTCATGTCTTAGTAACTCCTATTGATTATTGACATGATTATTTCCAAGACATCACCACATGATTAGTAATTTGATTAAATTGTAATACTATGCATATTAGTGTAGAGTCCAAGATGAAAATGGACCTAATTGAAAAGGAATATACATTTCTTCGCTCAATCAGTCTTTACTGTAAAGTGTTTTGAATAGCCTATATTTATCTGTTAGCATATAGGTGTCGTCATCTGATGATATTTTGACGCTTTTGGTGTTATTTCCCTGAAAGTGACTAGCCATGATAATCATGAAGTGTATTCCGGTGAGTGGTGGTATTTTCACTGATTTCTTCCTATTTATTTGGTATTGAATTTGTACGACCTAAATAAATTAACTACTGAAATGAGTAATACAGGTATGATAATCTTCAGTATATCAGATGGCGTATAAGTAATTAAGGCAGTGATATTCAGAGATATACAACCAGTCTTATCCTTATTTAAACTACGGATGTAAAATAGTTAGGTTGATGTAAACAGTTGTGAAAAAATCCCTGAATACAAATAATCCCAATGAAAATGAAGAGAAGTACTTCAATGAATGGAAATAGACTCATTTACCTACAAGATTGCCACGTAAACTTAAGATTCCGAGTTCAGTCCCCAACGGGTTCATAGGAGTTCACTGCTGAGAGGTTCCATATTAAGTTAAAGGAAATAGCTATCCAGTGGCATCAAATAATACATGAACATATAGATCAGTTGTGTTGATGATCCTTACTCCCTATTATGAAATACGCTACACATTGACTGAATGATAAAGAACCGAAGAAGATGTCTATCATAATCAATAAAACAGTATTCATACAATCGATACCTACATTATCCAAAACTACTTAAAAGTAATTGTAAGTAGTATTAATTGTTGAATAATTAATATCTTCTATAGTTCAGCACTCAGGACTTTTGTGTAAGAAACACTGTTGAAGTTGTCTTCAGGTTTTCTGGGAAGATGGTTAAGTTTTTAAGTTTCAAAAGTCATGGAACCAGGTTAGAAAGTATGTAGAGAAGAGAGTGAAACGGTGTCATGCTACCGAAGCTCTATATTCGACTAGGAACTCAGTGGACGAATAATAATGGAATTACATCAGTTAGGGAACCATTTGGAATCTGAGATCACCGAACACCTATTTCCTCCTAGTATGGGACTCCTCAGCAGAACGCACCCACGACTCCACCGGACAGGGATCGAACCCAGGAACTTCAGGTTTCACGGCTAACGCGCTAACCATTCAGCCAGTGGGTCGGTTTCCAATGGTTCACAATTTCCAACTTCTGTCAATCCACGACATAGCGCAACTATCACCAAAGGTTTTCAGTTAGCATCCACTTCACTTCCGACTGGTTGACCTTAGATGGATATCATGAAACCTGAATGTCTTGAGTTCTATCCATAGCCGGGTCGTGGGTGCGTACTGCTGAGGAGTCCCATACTAGTCGGACGAAACAGGTGTCCAGTGCTCCCAGATTTTCAATGGTTCCCAAATTGATATCAGTCCATGATGAATACTACTTCTAAATTGAAAATCCTCATTCATCTCAAAAATAATAATAATATTTAAAAAGGGTTCACTTTAAACTTACGTGAAAAAACACTGACGATCAACTGCCCATTTCCATAATGCTTCAGCTGCTTCAGGTGTTGGACATTTAAAGCCAAGAGTATGTCGACGCTTTAGGATAATAATAACAAAATTATAATGTGATCATGTCCATAGTAATGGGCAAAATTATCAATTAAAAGAAAATTTTGATGTAGATGCGTAGTGATGCAAACTATGTTGTAAACTTTAACAAAATTACTGAAATATTCAAAGAACAGATTCACTACAAGTTGGTATTCAACAGAGGCAGATATCAGTTGGAGAACAGCTAGAAATCTTGAAGCACTTGAAAGCTGTTTCATCCTGCCTATAACTAGTACTCACCTATGACTTTAGCAGGGATCAAGTCAGATGTAAGCACAAATACTCAACTATGGTATTGAATAAAGGTGATTTTATACCATTAATTGAATAAGGTGAACCATTGGATTCCAATCCACTGGCCCACTGGTAACGTGCATCCCGTAAGGTCTAATGTTCTAGGAAGGAAGGAAGTGGAGATGGATTGGGCATACACTGAGAAGAACATTCGGGATATCAGGCGTTAGACCAGGCCCTCAAGTGAAACCCAGGTGGGAAACGACGAGTTGAGCGTTCAAGGAGGGGGTGACATGGAGGAGATCGTGCGAGGAAGGGATGAGAACTTATTGGCTGTCGTGGAACCAGACTCAAAAGTTTGCAGAGAAGAGAGTGGAATGGAGACGTGCTACTGAATCCCTATGTTCCACTAAGAACCCAAGGGACAAATAATAATAATTTGATTCCGATCCATTGGTCTAATGGTAACAACATGCACCTCGCGAGGTCTAGTGGTCTAAGGTTTGACTCGTAATGGGGTAATGAATATGGACTGATGTGAATTCTTATACCAGGACGAAACAACTGTTCAGTGCTTCCAAGCTTTCAATACTTCTCTATATGATGTAAGTCTTTGACAAATATCAGCTTTTTCCAATGAAATACTTTTCTAAGAAATAGGAATGCAGAGCATTCAAACCACCGATGAATATCTTTATCATCCATATCAGTGTAGGTACTAAATATGGTTTCATATTCAAAAGTTCAACAACTTTTGTCTCAAGTAAACGCTCACTAATCTACTTAATGAGATGGCTGCGGTAGTGTAAGATGAATGAAGATGAACGAGTACCCAGTAGATTTGACCTTTTAATTCGAGACAAATATTTCATCAATTCCAATAGCAAACCTAGTTATCTCTAGTCTAGTGGACGACATAATTCTAGTGGATCTTTGCTATATCCCCCTAATTTTGTATAGCTTTCGACTATTGTTTTGACCGCGACCTTTAAAAATAACCCACATAGCTGTTTCCACACCGTTACTAGTTTTTCTTCTCCTTTCACTCAACGCTCAATTCTCATTGATTGTTAACTATATATGGATTCAGCGTTGTCAAGGTCATTTAGAAATGTAGATATATTCATTATCGCAGTCAAGTGTATTGACTATTGTTGTCGAGACAGTAAAAAGCCCTCCGTCAATGGTTTATTTTCTCTTCTTGCCTTCGCACATCTCTGGTATTGTTGTGATGATGATTGATACTTTGATTTGCGTTAGAGTCGATTCGTATCATTCATAGTCGGCTAGGTGGTATTACAGGTCATAGCAATCTTAAATGTTAAGATTCTTAGCCTACACATCCTGAAGTATTGAAGCGCCTTCGATTTTTTTTATAGTCGATGAAATAACTACGCACTAAGTTTTCTTTAAGACACGTATTAAGACAAGCAAATCGATTGATAAGGTTGTGAACGTTAGTCAACTGAGATGGCTTGGACATGCGTTGCGCATCCCAATCTAATACCTACCTCGATGTGTCATAATTGAGTCATGTGAGGTGATATAGACTGCCTTAACAAGAAAGGAATCAGTGGTTGTGGGCTCTTGGTGACATAACTGAAAATCGGTGACTATGATACAGACGTGTTCACTCCCTGATATCTTCTAATTCTTGAATATCCACACACACACACACATACAACTTTATCTACTTCGATATCACTCTGTTCTTTGTGCACTACTGGAAAGTGTGGCAGTGTGATCGGATGCACCTATGTACAATATCCCACGTTGATTTTATCAGTTAGACCCTATGATGATGGTGCAACCTAGTGCTTGAATGATTTCATCGAATTTCCTACTTTCTGCATAACTTCAAACAACAACATTACTTTCAAAAGTATTCAAGTGAAGTATGGTTATAGTCAGTGCAAAAAGAACCGATTATATGCTTCTTATTAGTTCAACCATAAGGTAATATCTGAGCATGAACGTCTTTAAAAGCTAGAAAAGAATATTTAATGAAAACTTGGGTTAAACCAGTGACTTTCAGGTTAACATCCTAATGTCTCACCAACTGAAAAATGAGGCTCAAGTTCTGTTCAGAACCTTATTTCACTTCGTTTCAATCACTAAGGGTTTTTCTTTACTGCCATATGAATTTGCGATATCTTACTATTCTTTCATCGTATTCACACTGGCTACCCAGGTAGGATTATACATCCCAATTCAAATCGAGCTAAACTAGACAGGGGCAAACATCATACTGATTATCAGTTGGACTTTCTAAGATAATCATACTTTTTCAAAAAACGTTAGCCCACTTGGAATGGACAATATTTGATTTTCCACAGCTGGATGCCTCTCAGTAGAAAGAGGAATCGAATCCATTCTTTATCTTCAAGAATCAAAATAATCTGCAACAGTGATACTATTGACGAAGAATTAGATAAACTACGCAAGATCCTCATACAAAATGGATATCCATCCACAGTTATCGATAACAACTTGAAAGTAAACCAGAATACCGAGCCAGTACTTACACTTCCTAAGAAGACCTTGTTTATGCACATTGATTTCAAAGGCGATACGGCAGCACAGATCCTGTAGAATCGGCTGTCCAGATCACTGAATAAGACATTCTTCTCTGCAAAACTGCAGATCAGCTTCTCTAGTCAATATCTCATTCCGGTGTGTGTTAAGGACAAGTTACCACTTTGGACAACATCGATGTGTGTCTACAAATTTACTTGCTCCTTCCTGTGAAGCAAGGTATATAGGCCGCATAAAGCGCACGCTTTCCAAGCGTATCTCGGAGCACTATCCTGCATGGTTGTCGAGGGGAGAATGTAAATCAATTAACAGTTCAATTCTTTTGGCCATTTGGCCAACTCTGGACATAAAGTTAGACCAGAATCTTCCTTCAATGTCATTTATCGTGTCAGATGGAATAGTTGAAAAGGAGTAGGCCTTCGACAGTTGTGCCCATCGGAGGCACTAACAATTCATCAATTCAAGCCTGATCTCTGCGTGCAAAAGGAGTATGTTTAATCTCTCATCTCTTACCATGGTCTTAACACTCACATTACAGTTACAGTCACCTTCATTATGACCCTTGTCTCAGTCTTCACCTTCTTTACATCCATCTATCTATCTATCAAGTGGACACTAAATATTTGCGTTTCTTATCTACCCACACTTTTCACCTCGTCAAACTCCTTGTCTTCCTCGATATTTCTACTGTCTTAGTTTATTATGCAACTACTTTGCATTCTTGATTCCGGTTTCTCTTAGCACTAAATTAATGATGTAATTAAACCCTATTGTTTTATAATAGACTGTTATATGTTTATGATATAGAATATAAATACGATTGTACAGCTTTAAAAAACGTTTTATTATTGATACTCGATGATGATGATGACTGAAGGTGAAATGAAAATCTGAGCAATGTTAGGACTTGAATCAGCGATCATTGAAGTAAAAGCATTGGTAACGCCAACAGTGTAGGATATTTTTATAAGCGGTATGACATACCTGTTCCCATTCCACTTGAATAATGAATAATTTGCCTTCATAACTTATTTTGTTTATCTTCTGCCTGATATAAATAAAATTGAACATGCAACAAGTGAATTAGAACTCTTGAATATAGGCATTTCAAGAAGAATTATGTAGCTGTCAAGATGATTGAACAGAGTTATATTCTTTAACCATTCCAATGTATATTTCAAGTGAGAGGAACCAGTTATATTGGTTGCTGCTCGAAGAATTCTATTCTTTATACTCAGGAACACTTTTCAACATGATAATGTAAAGGTGTGATCAAGACCATTAACATCTCCATATTAACACACTTGGTTCAAAGGAACCATAAGATGAGTAATTTGTATAATTATGTCCAGCAGAAGAATCCAGAGCACGTCCATCATCCTATTTGAGACTCACTCGTCATTTGGATGTACCAGCACCGCAGTACTATGTGATTTTTTTCTTACCGAGACTCAAATGTCATACTCATCGCTTCAAACGTCAAGGCGTTATCGTTTAGGCCACAGAGACACGATATCCACTTCATGTACAACGGGTATTACTTATTGCTACCTAATGATATACTTGTAATTCTCCGTTGTTTTACTGGATCGAACTGTTCGAAATCTATCAGCACATAGGCTTTTATACAGATGCCTCGATATTGTATGAATCCGACAGAACCAATTAAGCAAAATAATTTAATCTGTCAAATTCCATGTAATGACTGAGTGATGTCAAGTAAGCCGGGTTGGGGTCAGTTAGAATAACCGAACATAGGAATGTAGCTAAATATAGAATGACAGCCGCAAATAATCTGGAAAGAAGCTCTCCTATTGCCTAATAAATGTGTAAAACTTGGGCACTGTGTTAGAATGTAATTCCAAATCTGAGATTTACGTATTTGATTGATGTAACACCCAGTGATTGATACAGTATTACCTTTTTATTTGATGACGTTTCCAGCATAAATTGTTATTGCTCATAATCATATCAATGTAATCGCGCCGCTTCTGATATCTGATTTTATAGTCTTGTCACCTCTTATTAATATATTATTATTTTACCCTCGGGTTTCTAGTGCAACACTGGGCTTCAGTAGCACGTTACCATTTCACTCTTTTCTCGCCAGTCTTCTTAACATGGTTCCGTGACTGCCCACAAGCTTTCCTTTTTTCTTTACATGATCTACTCCATGTCACCCTAACACGCCTAACTAACTCTTTGTTTCTCATTTCGGTTACAACCGGGGGCTTGGCGTGTGATGTCCCAAAATCGTCTTCTCAGTGTATGCCCAATCCATCTCCACTCTCTTCTGCATACTTTTTGAGCGATGGCTTTATGGTTGGTTCGTTGCCAGGGTTCCTCGATGCCTATCCTTTTCGGTCATCTGATCTTCAGTATCGAGCATAGGGGGCAGCTGTTGATAAATGTCCCTAGTTTGTTGGAAATGCTCTGCGTAACGCGCCAAGCTTCTGAACCATCAAATAAAATCACTGACTTGACCTAGTTATTGTTGAAAACTCAGATTTTGTTCAAGCTTTATGCTAAGTGCAGCAGAACTCCACACTGGTTTCAGATTAATGAAGACCTGTTTTGCTTTCTTTTCGATACTGACTTTGGCATCCTCATCTGTGCCACCTGTAGTTAAAACGACGCTGACATCTAGGTAGGTGAAAGTGACAACTTCCTTAACATTTCTCCCGTTCATGGCGATTGATGATTGTTGCTGATGTTGTTGTTGTTGGTTGGCATCTTCATCAGCTCTGTCTTCCCTACGTTCATCTAAAAGAAGTCGAGTGTTCATTGGCTGCCCTGCCTTGCCTTGCCTCGCCTCACTTGCCAACTTCTTAGTTTTCGCCTATAGATCTTCGGTTTTTCGTGACATAAGACATTAGACATAAATTATCAGCGAAATCCAAATTTTCTAGTGTCTTTTTATCGGTCAAACATCGTAGGCCCATCTTTATCCTTCTCACGGTTCGCTGAATGATCCCATAGAGTTGAGTCGATCACAGTCAGGAAGATGATGAGTGATAGTAGGAGGTAGCCTTGTTTTGTCTGTCAACCTGTCTTCACTTCAAAGTGGTCACTGAGCTTTCCATTGTGTTGTGAATCACTTGACATGTGGCGTCTTCATATAGCTGCTGTTGAATGAGGTTGATAAAGGTCTGTGGCACTCCATAGTGTTGAAGCAACTGCTAAATTACTTGTCCGTTGATGCTATTGAATGCCTTTACAAAGTCGATGAGCTTGAGGTAGAGAGTTGACTGCCATTCTATACTCTGTTCTATGATGATGTGTAGCGCTGGAATTTGGTCCGCTCATGATTTGTTCTTCCTGAAGCCAGCCAACCTGTTCCGGTCCTAACTATGAATCCTGTGCATGTTTTAGTCTCTTCAGGATGATATGGTTTAATATTTTGGTTGGGGTGGACAGCAGCATGGTTCCACGCCAGCTGTCGCAAAAGACTTAGGTCTCCTTTCTTTGGGAATTTGGCAATGTAGCCCTTCTTCTGATCAGTGGGAAGGTATCTTTCCTTTCTTCCTCCCAAACCTTCTGCAATAGTGGTGCGAGCGTGTCCGCTGTTGTTGCTGCGTCTATTTTCAGTGCTTGTGGTGGGATTCCATCTGGTCCTGCTGATTTTCTGGATTTCAACAGTTATATGGCGTTCAGAACTTCGACTTTTGTCTGGGGCTTGTGATCACTGGGAGTTATACATCTGGGCTACAGGTGGTATTTCTGGACGAGTTGCAAGTGGTGGTCAATTTAAGAGTTTTATGAAGTGGTCAGCCCATCGTTTCCTTTGCTTCTCCTACTTTGGTAACCAGGTTTCGTTCATTGTCTCTCATTGGTTTCATCTGCGTTGATCTCTTCCCTCTCAGACAGTAACTTGGTCATTTGATATAATGTTATCAGGTCTGTGCTACCTGCAGCCTGTTCTGCTTCACTTGCCAATGTGTAGTAGAAGTGTCTTTTGTCTTTCCGTGCACTCTTCTTCACTTCTTTGTCCAGTGTAGTGTTTTATACATTGTGCTCAGTTCCTCTTGTCGTTGTGCATCCTGGCACTGATTCATCTTCTGCTTCACTATCCTCCTCTCCCTGCTATATCAGCTTCCATGTACCCATCAAGATCCATTCCTTGTCTTGTTTCTTCTTCCCTCCTAACATGGTTATGCAGGTTTTCTTCCACATCTCTTTCAAACAGTTCCAGTGTTCTTCTACAGTGGTTTCTTCAGGGATGTTGCTCGATATCTCCCATTTCGTTTTGATGACTGACCTGAAGATTTCCTTTGTAGTGTCGTCCTTCAGTTTTTGTTCTGGGTGTTGAACTTCAACTGTAGCCTATCACCAACTTCTTTGAAGGCTTTCAACTTGATTTTGAAGTTAGGTTCCTTGCACTAGATAATAAGTGGTGTGAACCTCCATCTGCTCCCCTTCTTGGTCTGATCTTGTGTCGAGTAGACTGGCTGCGTCTCCACTTTCTTCACATTGAGATGAAGTCGATCTGATTTTTAGTGCTTATCTCTAAATGAGTTTGAATGAGGTTTGAATGCCACATTAATCTTAATCTATGGTTACCTATTTCAAGAGGGGTAACAAACTACACACTGTGTAAACCAGCTTACCATTACCAAACTGCAGTACTAACAAATTCTGTCCCACTTGAGTCTATGCATAGGAATCCATTTACTAACACATCGACCAATTCAATCTAGTATAGCTGTCGAGTGTAAAAATATAACAAGTATTGCGCGAGGAGTCGACAAGCATGCTTCACTAGCTCAACGCTGACGAATCCTGACTGGTAAGAAACATGTGTCATGGATGTCACTGCTATCCACCAAGCAAAGTGAACTATGCTTGTTATTTTTGTTGAAATGAAGTCAATGTTTACTAATTACACTTTAAATATATTTGTATATACTAATGACATATTCGTACAGGCGGGACAGACGAGGATGTCAAAACAAGCCACGATCGGAAAGACAGCAAGACACGCCTTCATTCATTAATCTGAAATCAGTGTGGACATCTACTGCTGTCCACTCAGCATAAAGTGTGAACAGCATCCGAATTTCCAACACTGCCAATTCAGTCAAGTGAGTCAGTGCATCCATGTGATGGTTGAGAGACTTGGCGCATCACGAAAAGCATTTCCAACAAACTACAAATATTCATCAACTGCTGCCACCTACCCTCACTCCATGCTGAACATCAGATGAGATGGTGAGAAAGAAAAAGCAAGGAGGAACTCTGGTTGACTGGCAGCGAACCAACCAAGAACCTATCACTGAACAAATATGCAGAAGAAGAGAGTGGAGATGGATTGGACATAAAATGAGAAAATCATTCGGAGACATCATGCACCAGTGCAGGCCTTCGAGTGGAATCCAAATGGTAGACGATGAGTTAGTCGTATGAGGTGAGGATGACATTGAGGATATTGTGTGTGAGGAAGAAATGAAAGCTTTTAGTCAGTTGTTGAGTGAGGTTTTGAAGACTGACGAGAAGAGAGTGGAATGGAGGTGTCCTACTGAAGCCCTATGTTTCACTAGGAACCCATAAATATTACTTTCAATTTACAATTCCTATATGCCCAGATTTTCAATTCACCTAAACAACTAATTCTTGGTTTAAAAATTTTCAAACTATTGAACAGAAAAACAATAACTTAATTTTGTTTGGTGTTTTAAATGTTGATATTCAAACGAATAAAATACTTTTGTACATCCATTTTACGCTTTGCTTGAATAATAGGTTTAATAATCGGAAAGATTGGATGTTTATTTACGATCAGAAAGCCTAAAAAGCGGACTCATCGCTGATTGAAAATCATTTCCACAGAATATATTTCAAATTAGCTTCAGGGACAACTAGAGTCAGCTGACCCAGTTGATGCTAAAAACAAACATCTAAGTTTGTCAATAATAATGATGGGCAATGGCTAGCAGTATAATCCACAATGCGCATCATTACTTTACATAATTGAAACATAGGTAATATCGAGGCATCCACACAGGAGCCCATATGCCAACAGAGACTGACAAATTTGATCCAATCAACGACGGTATAATGCAAGCAATAACACTGAAACTATACCAGTCGCACAAGAAGTGGCTATCCATGACTTGGTAGTGTAGTGGATAACGCTCTTGCATTTGAAGCGATCGTTCCTGAGTCTGAATCCTTATGGGAACAACATCACTCACTGACAGGCAGATACATTCAGCTGACGAGTACCAAATAGAAGGGAATGCCGATTCTGGATTCCACTGTTAGCCACTACCCATCATTACTATACATAATTGAAACACACGCAATATCAAGACATCCAGATAGGAGCCTATATGTCAACAGAGACTGATCGATTCGGTCAAATCAACGATGGTGTAATACAAGCAATAACACTAACAGCTAAACATATTACTGAATAAAATTTATTTAAAAAGTAATAATTACCAATTGAAAACGTGTGCTTTTCTGCTTCCTCGATATGTGATCACACCTTCATGATTCAAACCCATATAGAAGTGATTACCTTTACGATCCTGACAAAGAAAAATAGAACAGAAGCAAATTATATTCAATCAAACAATCTGATCATGGCATAGAATAAACTTTGAAATATTATATACAATCATTTCAACTTTATGAGGTAACAGTTAGTCATCGGGTGTTAGTGGAGTGGTAGCTGAAAAACGTCTGGAAACAACTACAACATCGTGTATTGACATTTCATCATCCTGGTAAATGTTTCACTTTTACATAGAATATAGAGTTCTACATATCCTGTTAGTGATCACAGAATAAACCGTAAAAGTGTAAACAGAAGGGAAATTCAGGATCTGCGTTTCGTCCCAACTGCGACTCGTCAGCTGGATGTATATAACGGACATCCTGAATTTCGCTGCTAATCACCAAACATACTATAATATCATGAATCACTGGTTAGTATCGAGACCTTTACATAGGAACTTATCTGCTCACAGAGGTTGAGTAAATCGATTCATTATAGCGCAACAGGAAATTCCAAGTGTCTCAGCAGGAAAAACATCTCAATGAAACTCAAACCTAAATCCTATGGATTTAAACACCAAAACGTTATCCACTGAACATCTAGTCGTAATATCCATTCTCTGTACAGCAGGTGTAGTTCTAACATTTAGCCTCATCAGTGACAGGAAACGTCAAGCAATAATATCTAAATAAACATTATAATTATAATACGCATAAGTATATATTAAATATAACTACCCTAATCTGAAATCAGTGTGGACATTTACTGCTCTGCACTCAGCATAAAGTGTGAACAACATCCGGATTTTCAACACTGCCAATTCAGTCAAGTGAGTCAGTGCTTCCATGTGATGGTTCAAAAACTTGGTGAGTCATGAAAAGCATTTCCAACAAACTACAAACAGTCGTCAACAACCACCTACACTCAATCAATACTGAACATCAGATGATATGGTGAGAAAGAATAAGCAACAAGCAACTCTGGTTGACTGGCAGCGAACCAACCAAGAACCAATCACTGAACAAATATGCAGAAGAAGAGAGTGGAGATGGATTGGACATAAAATGAGAAAGTGATTCGGAGACATCATGCAGCAGTGCAGGCCTTCGAGTGGAATCCAAATGGTAGACGATGAGTTGGTCATGTGAGGTGAGAGTGACATTGAGGATATTGTGTGTGAGGAAGAAATGGAAGCTTTTGGTCAGTTGTTGAGTGAGGTTTTGAAGACTGTCGAGAAGAGAGTGGAATGGAGGTGTCCTACTGAAGCCTTATATTCCACTTGGAACCCAAGGGGAAAAAAAAAATAATGAATATAATTACCACAGAGTACCACATTGAAATACATGAGATCGAACCTGAACAATAAACCCAGAAATAGTCATCGAAACTTGATTTCGGTTCATTATCACTTCATTAGGGTTAACATACCCTTAGAGCTGACCTTTCATGATTGCATAACATGTGTCTGGGAAGCTTTTACAGTAGTCACACTTAACCGTAGTGTCAAGTGTTAATAGTTTAGTGTGACTTTTTCTGACATTCATCGAATGACTATTGAGATGAATTAAAAATTTCTCATTCAGTTACATTCTGACATTTGTTTACTTTCTCTATTACAAACTCATCATCCATTGATTACAAATGACATTTACTCAAGTTGTCGATGGTCGTGAGGACAGTTACTCAAAGATGATATTGGATAACGGTTGTGCTATATCGTGAGCTAACAGAAGTTGGAAATATAGAGCATTGGATTCCTCTGACCAAGTTGCTAGCTCAATGGTAACGTGCTTGCCACGAAACCTGAAGGTCACTGGTTTCGATCCTTGATGGTGCGGGGTCGTGAATGCGCACTGCTGAGGACTCCTATACTTGTAAGAAACAGCTAGCTATTCAGTACTCCTATGTTCCTAGTGTTCCTCCAACTGATGTTAGTCTATGATGAATAACAATTTGAAATATTTCCAAATTCCCACAACTCCCTCAAAATTTAATAAGTTGAATTTCTATGTGAAATGATTCTTTAAGTCGTCCTTACAACTGTTGAAATAGCTAATTCAAGTTTGAATATCTCTCATAAGAAAGTAGTTATTCCCTGAATGACTAAGCCTAATTTAATATCTCAGGTAGTTGTTACTGCGGATCCTTAGTATCACTTTTCTATATGTGTGCATTTATAATGAACTTGTGATAAAACTATTTCAAATTTGAGTTCTATCTCATTGATATGCTTATACCTCAGTGATTGTTTTTTCTACCGAAAGTGAGTATCAACTATTCCCCAAGAAAAAAACTGTTATTGCTTTTATTATACTGTCGTTGATTAGACCGAGTTGACCGGTCTCTACTGGTATATGAGTTCTTGTACGGATGCCTCAGTATTGCCTGTGTTTTAATGATGTATATATATATATATATATATATATATATATATATATATATATATATATATATATATATATAGTGATGATGGATAGTGGCTATCAGTGCAATCCAGGATACGCATTTCGTCCTATTTCCAACTCCTCAGCTGGATGTACCTGCCTCCCAGTGAGTGGTGTTGTTCCTATGGGGGTTCGAACCCAAACTGGATGAAATGTGCATCCATGATTCCATTAGCCATCATTACTATTCTCCTGAATCACCAAAACAAATGGAAAATATTCTTGATTTACACTTGCTTAAGCATTATGTTCTGTCTTCAGTCGTTGATTATGAAACACGTTAGTTAATATAACCACGTTCGGTAATTAAATGAACTGACGAAAATCTAATTAGAAATATTTATGATTAATAGTAGTTAACAGTGAAGCTCAGGACGCTGATTTCGTCCCTTTCGGGAGTCCTCAGGTGAAGGTATTTAACTCTCAGTGAGTACTGTTGTTCTCACTAAACGTCGAACTGAGGACAATTGACTTCAAATAACAGCAGGTTTTTCCACTAGGCTGAATAGGAAGAAACTCACTTTCTGGATTTAACTGTCAGCCACTTTCCATTAGTAATATTAAAACTCAGAATACCGGCAACATCGAGGCATCTGCACAAGGGTAGATAACCTTGACAATAGTGTTTGATCCATTCAGTCTAATCAGCAACATAAATTTACCAGTTATAGCATAAGAAAAATAGTTGAAGATAGACTGGTGAAAAAAATACTAGTAAGAATAAAATGTGTGAGGTAATGATCTATTGTGAGGTTCTAATAGTAGACACATTAAATTCTTTTATAAGTAGATATGATAACTTTCAAAATGACTCTGCAGCTGTTTCTATATATAGAAGCATCTTCGGTCATTCAGTCATTCATTCCACTTGAGTATTGGACTACTAAACTTATCCATTGAACATTTTTCATCTAATTTTTTTCTTTTCAATTTGTTTTAATCATTTAAAATATGTCCACTGAATGTATAACGTACTTTGGCACATTTTCAAACTGTTTTCAACTCTCCATTTCTCGGGTCAGTAACAAAGAAGAGGAGAAAAATGTTACGTTATATGTCAGTGCAAAAAATACATCATATTTCTATCCGTCAGACGTTTAGCTTAAGTTACAGACATTTGTACCATCTCAATGAATCACCAACACCACCAAAATTATGCTTGGATTCCTGGACCAGATGCCCATACAGAACCATCTGGCTATTTTACATTATTGCCTTCAATACTATTATTATTATTAACATCATGTCACCTTCGCCTCGAATGCCCAACTAGTCGTTTCCCCTTTGGATTCCAGTTGAGGAAGTGACCTGACGCATGACGTCCCGTATGGTTTTCTAAGTGTATGCCTAATCCATCTTCACTCTCTTCTTCTGCATATTTTTTGGGTGATAGGTTCTTCGTTAATTCGTTCCCAGAGTTCGTTGTTGCTTATTCCTTCTGGCTACCTAATCTAATCTTCTGTATGGATTGAGGGTACGCCGCAGCTGTTGATGAATGTCTATAGTTTGTTGGAAATGCTTTTTGTGAAACGCCAAGTTTCTGAACCATATAGAAGCACTGACGTGACTGAAATGGTATTGAAAATCCGGATGTTGTTCTTTGTGCTGAGTGCTGTAGATCTCCACACTGATTTCAAATTAATGAAAGCCTATCTTGCTGTCTCTCCGATCCTGGTTTTGACAGCCTTATCCTTGCCACTGCCTGTAGTTGAAACGATTCTGCCTCCTAGGTAGATAGGTAGGTTGAAGAGACTACTTCCTTTAGATTTCTCCCGTTCATGGTGATTGGTGCTTGTTGTTGTTGTTGGGTATCTTCATCACCTCTGTCTTCTCTACGTTCATCTGAAGGGAGTGCCGTATTCCTTGGATGCCCTGCCCTACCTCGCCTCTTTTGTCAACTTGTTGGTTTTCGCCTGTAGATCTTCAAGTTTGTGCGACACAGAATATTAGACAAAAATCATCACCACTGGTGAAATCAAAATCTTCTTCTAGGCTCTTTTCATCGGTCAAACAGCCAACGTATGCCCATGTTCTCGATCCTCACGATTTGCTGCATGATCCAGTCGACCACATTCAGGAAGATCACGGGTGATAGTAGACAGCCTTGTTCTACTCCTGTCTTCACTTCACCTCAAAGGCATCACTTAGCTTCTCATTGTGAATTACTTGATAAGTGGCGTCTTCATATAGCTGCTGTTGAATGAAGTTGCTAAATACTAGTGGCACTCCGTAGTGTCGAAGTAGCTGGTAAATTACTTGTCAGTTGACGCTGTCGAAGGCCCTTTCAAAGTTGGTGAGGTTGAAGTAAAGAGTTGACTGCCATTCTATACTCTGTTCTATGATAATGGGTAGCGTTGTAATTTGATGTGCACATGATTTGTTCTCTCCAGGATGATGCGGAAAGATATTTGGGTTGGAGTGAACAGCAGCATGATTCCGCGGCAGGCTTAGGTCTCCCTTCTTTGATAGTTTGATAAGGTAGCCCTTCTTCTAATCAGTGAACAGGTACCTTTCCTTCCTACCTTCATTACAAACCTTTTTCAGTAGTGGTGTGAGCATATCCGTTGTTATCTCTACGTCATCATTT